CAATTTTCTGTATATAAATATTATAGTTGCATATTAAATATATATTTTAAAATCATACACACTAACCAAAACTAACAGACAATTTATTTTCTTCTTGTTTATTTTTCAAACGACTCGCCCTTATAGGATCCGCTTTAATTAATTCAACTAAGTTCAGAAACATCTTCCTCAGGCATCATCCTGCATCAAATTCTTTTTCCTAAATCGGAAATTTCTCAAATTCTCTTTGAGTCGTTTTCCCAACAAGGATTTATTTAAGTCAATTATTTAATTGTTCATCAACAGATTGTTATTATTACTGTATAAGCTGCAAATATATAGTCTTGCCAGAATTGGCATAATAGTTCAGAAAAGTTAAAGCAAACCATCCCCAGAGGTACTTGATCAAACCAGAAGTGTCAGACTGCGTCAAATTCAGCTGAAATTTTCTCTTTTAATAAAAATATAAGTTTCTTCCAAAATAATAGTCTAGGGTCAAAAATTTTAAAATGCACATCTTCAATGATTTTTAAAAGCCACTCAGGATATTGCTACACTTCATTAACATTGACTAAAGCTGCCTCTCGTTGCAGTAAGTTTACTTCTTTTAGATGCTATTGAATTTTTGTTTTGAATTCCTATTTATTTGCTTTTATTGTATCTATAAGAGGAAAACAGAAACTGATCGCACAAATTTAGGTCTACAGTGCTGAAGAACCTTTTGGTAAATCAATAGCCAGCTCTCCAAATATAGTGCAGATAGACGTTGCCAGTTTTGGTTTGGTTTTTTGTTCATTAATCCTCAATAAATTTTTAAGCTCAATTGTTCAATCCGCACAAAATTCACTATATTCCTTTTTATATATCTTAATAAACAATAAAAATGAAGCACTATTCTCATTTTAAGTTCTCTAAAACATAAAAACATGAAATCCCTTACACGGATAAAAAATGAAAAGGCTTGCGTGCTTACTTTAATGCAACTTTTAGGATTGATTAGGATGAACTCTAACGTAAAAAAAAAGATTACAAGACAAAAAAAAAATTCATTCACAACCCTTGTTTTGCGGCGAGTCAAATTTGGACCTAACTCGATTTTTATATCCACTGAATTACAACTGTAAAACTCATTATTTATTATTACTTTCGTTCGCAACACTAATGTACCGCAGTAAAGAAGTACAGAAACCAATTTGCAAAAAATTAAGCACCTTGTCCTGGTTACTAACCGGTAAGTGTACGACGGCTGCCTTTTATATTTCGAGATTTTCTTAAACTAGTCCTGCCATCTGGCGACTAACGTTTTTATAGAGAAGTTTGACATTTTGAGGTTAGCTTTACTCAGTTAGGTTTTGGCGAAAGAGTGATGTTTGTGTTTTTTGTGATCATTTTCGTGCATTATTTTTTTACAGTTTTAGACGTGGACTAACTCAACAACAATACATCGATGAACTTAATTCGACTTTTTGGTTTTCAGACTTTAGTCGTGTGTTTTTTTTAAGGATGAATTTCGTGAAGGTGGTCCAAAATCTGTGGTTGTCCAAAGAAAACATTGATGCAGTGCGGAAACTGATATTGCAGAATCGTCATGTGACTTACCATGAGATTGAGGTATCTTTGGGCATTAGTTGGATCAGCATACATGCAATTTTGCCGCTAAAAAAATGTTCTCGTTGGATTCCACACGATTTGACATCAGCTCAAAAAAAGGCTCGTGTTGATTGGTTGAAGAAAATGCTAATCACGGTGCTTCCAAACACGTCTGTGATATCGTGACGGGCGATAAATCATGGATCTATCCATATGAACCTGATAGTAGGCAGCAGTCGACTGTGTGGATCTTTTAGAAGTACCTTGAAACAAATGGTAGCTTGTTTTTTCAGGAAAACTAGCCACGTTGCAACTATTTCTTTGGTGAAAAGTAAAACAGTCAATTCTGAATGGTACACAACCGTGTGTTTTGCCTAAAGTCTTCGAAGAAATGACGACAATGCCAGCTCTCGCCAATCAGCGTAAACCAAGAACTTTTTGAGCAAAAACGTTGATTTCGTGAGCCATCCTCTATATAGTCCTGATTTAGCACCTAATGACTTCTTTTTATTCCCATACATTAAGAATAAATTACGTGGGCAACGATTTTTGACACCAGAAGGAGCGATTGATGCGTTTAAAAAGCATGTTTTGGAGGTGAACGAATCGATGTGGGAAAAGTGCTTTGATGATTGGTTTTATCGAATGCAAAAGTGTATTGATCATCAGATTGTGAATATTTTGAGAGACAATAAAGTCATATTTGTCGGTATTTTATAGTTTTTTATTACAAATCCCGAAATATAAAAGGTAACCCTCGTATCAGAAGGACGCGACGCGTTTAATTCTGCAACGACGTAAAAAAAAGATTACCAATCAAGTAATTTTCATTCAAAGTGGCAACTTACTGAAAAAGTTCATCTTCGCCACTTATTCACAATGCTCTGCTTTGTGATGAACGAATTCCGACCATCAAACGTTTTTCCCTGCAAGAATATATCGCAGGATCTTATGTTCTGCGTACTTTACACTGAATCCCTAACTCGCCGATAAGACACGAGTGCTTTATTGGCAGTTTAAGGGCAGGCCCTTGTCACCTAGCATCGAAAACACGGATCACGATCTGTGACTAGAATTTCCAAAACGTAGCGAGAGCAAACCCCTGAAAATAAAACAATAATCGCGTTTCATTTCATATGCATTTTGTCTAATTAAGCGCATTGAGACTAAGACCTGAAGATTAAAAGTATGCGATTTTACCAAGGCGATATTCATTTTGTTTATTAAGCACGTTAAGATAATATATCAGAAAAAGCGCAATGAAAGTTGAATAAGGATTCCATGGACCCTAATGTCGAAACTTGTGTTACTAAAAACATTAGACATGCGATAAGATTTCAAACATAATGGACCCCGCGGCATTTCCAGCAAGTGAAACTCGAAACCGGCATCCTTAAACTAACAAGAAGAGAGCCTTGAAACAAATCTCAAAGAAGCCTCACGCCCATTCGAGGGTTAGACCAGGTTTTTGTGGTACAAACAAGTCCAGTGTCCAGTTTTCGTCATTTATCTTTCGCAACTCACTTCGTTGACCTACATTAAAATATCCGCCTTAATGCCGGATATCTTAGTCCCTTTTGCGATATTTAAACGCGTATTACGAGGGCAGCGCCAAAATTTCCCGGCCTTAATATGAAATAAACAAAGTAGAGTAACAATTTTTTATTATTTTTCAATATAAGGGGGATTACTTCAATACACTTATTACGTCTCTTTATTAACAACTCAATCCCTTTAAAAAATATATTCTTTTGGTTTGTCTGCAAAATGACCTAAACAAGCCCCTTTTAACTGAACTTCGCCGTCCACGTAAGTCCTTTTTCAAATATCCAAACAAATAATAGTCGCTGGTGGCCATATCTGTACCATAGGGAGGATGATCTATTTGTTGAAACCCACAGTCTAAAATGGCAGCTTGTGCAACACCAGCAGTATGGACAGGTGCATTATCGTGCATTATCATCAATAGATGCACGCCTCTGATCAGTTTTCCTCGACGTTTTACACGTATGCAGTCTCGCAATTTATGTAATAATGTTGCGTAATATTTCCCACTGACAGTGGTATTAGTTTCTTTAAAATCTATCTAAAGAATTCTTTTACAATCCCAAAAGATCGTGGCCATCACCTTTTTTGTTGACTGGCAGACTCTGAATTTTCTTGGAGGTGTTTCACCCTTACGACGCCACTCCATTGATTCTTTTTTCGATAGAGGGAAATAATAGAGAATCATAGTTTCATCTCCCGTCACAATATTTTGTATTACAGGCTTCGGTTCCGACCCACAGAGTTCCAAAAAAGACCGCGTACACTCGACACGGTGTTGTTTTTGAATAGCCGAAAGGTTTTTAGGAACCCATCTCGCACTAACCTTATGCATACCTAAATGATCATGCAGGATTCGACAAACACTTGTATCAGAAAGCCTAGTAATTTCTGATATTTCCTTGAAGTTTAAACGTCGATCACTCAATACCACCTCTTCCGTTATGACCTCTGGTCGACCAGTTCTTGTATCATCTTCAAGGGACTTCTGCCCCATTCGAAAACGTTTTGCCCATTCTTTCACTACAGAATACGAAGGATAACTTTGGCCGTACACACCATCCAGCCTTTCTTTAATAACTTTAGGCGCTAACCCTTCTTTTGCCAAAAACTTTATGACTGCTCTATACTCAATTTGCGTTATTTGCGACATTTTTTCGGACAAGTCTTGTTTAAAATGCTGTCAATAAAAAATTATTTGACGCAAGACTTCAATTTTTTTTTCGCAGCCTACTAATATATAAATTTCAAAGAAGACAAAGCTTTATCGTGATACTGGAGCTGCATGTATGTCAGGTCGGGAAATTTTGGCGCTAACCTCGTAACATCTTCACAATTTCCAGATTGATGTCCCTCTTTTAAATCTAAAAAATCTAACGGTACTATTTTTGTTGCTTGCTTATTATTATCCTGTCATTAAACACTGACCATACAGCAATACCATTGTCGGTACTCGAGATACTTGTCAATATTTGATATAAACAAGTATTATTTATAATAATATATATAGATAAAATATATAATTTATTTAAAGCCATACAAAATTTGAAATGAATACAATCATTATAGGACAAGAATAGAACATGATAAAATAATATATTATGTTTCAAAATGACATCTTGGCCAGGTATTCTTCAGTGCCTCAACTCAATCATATCATTTGCTTGTACACTAGTAATTCAATTCAATAATATATATGACTTCTAATATGTACTTGGCATTGACAGTTATTCATTAATATAAATGATAAAAAAAAGTACTATTTTAATATATTTTGAAGCAATTTATGACCGTGGGATCAGTTGAACTGTTCTGCTAGGTTTAGCTCTCAACACCTTGAAGCCTTCAAGTTTTATTCGTCTCATTTAGAACGGAATTTATTACAGGTGACGTGGACCCATCAAAGAAATCAGTCAATTAATCTTCTAACCGTCGGTCGAAACGCTTACAGCAAAGACGAACGGATCCATTTAGCTTTCCGTTACCCGAATAACTATCGTTTGCAAATATCCTACGTTACTCGAAGAGACGACGGCATGTACGAATGTCAGGTTGCAACCCATCCGCCGAAAATTAAGAGGATATACCTCAAGATCACTGGTAAGTCCCAAACGCTATTTACAAAAAGTCTCCACGGGAACTATATGCGACCTCCAGGATGTAAATTTTACTGGGACTCTGTACTCCTTGTTTTTGATTCGCAGGGGGGAAGTTTAGTAATCTGAGAAAAGAATTTAAACGAACATGTTTCGAAACTACTGCCATCGTTTAGCCTCGCTCGACTGATTGATGATGTTTCGAAAACAATTTTGGTGGTATGGGCAATATAATACTTATAATGTTACTAAATATAATTATTAGTCTTTGTACACGATAACATTTGCAAAAGGTGCTAGAGAATAATGAAAAAAACCATGAGCCTAGCTCCTGAAAAAGGTCCCTAGTCTCACGGTATTCTCAGCAGATAATTTAAACTTCCTGTACAGGTACAGAGCAAAGGGACATGGAGAAGTGTATGTTTTAATTTACGCTTCTTACGATGGGATAATCTTGAGTGTGCATAGCGTGGTGAAATGCGTAAATATTTGATACATTCATCTACGGATGGTGAGCGACTCAGACTCAGATATATGAGTATATCTATGTATATATTTATGAAATATTCGATTACTCTAAACGGAAAAACTTGATCCTTTTTTTTTATCAAAAGAAATATAATGTTAAAACCAGATCTCTCTCATATTCGATCCTTCAAAGACAAAGTTTCGTTTGAGATACTAAGATCATACCATATGCAGCAAAAAATAATACTGGAGAAACAGGACGAAGAATTTTCAACTAGGCTCAAAGAACATGAAAGAGCGTTAAGATTACGACAAATAATCGTATCAGCAGTTCCGGGACAAAATTATGAAACCGGACACCAACGCTTATTCGATAAAATTCAAATTTTTGCATGTAATCAATTTTTCTACCAAAGAAAATGGCGAGAATCCATAGAAATCTCTAAACCACCAAACAATTTAAACAGTAACTTAGTAAGGTTATAAGGTAACAGTGACGTACTTTACACTTTCTACTTTTGCAGTTAGCTTAGAATATTGCCTTTCTACTTCTTCTAATTGTAATTTTATGACTCGTATTGTATCCGTAAATAAAGAAATTAATCCGATAGATAAGCTGTACTTTAAAAACCTTAGGATTTATTATATTATACTCTTTAACTCTCACAATTTCTTGATATTAAAATCTCTCCGGATCTCCGGTGTGACTTCAACATCTGACGTGAACACAAACGCAGCAAAAATTAATTTTTTCTTTGGTGGCTGCGCGGAATGTCAATTCCAATCGTTAATTAAATTTCCCGATCGTCTATATAACAACGAGAGGAAAAATGGGAGCTATATATGCAGTCCGTATCAAAAAGTGAAATTAAATCAAATAAATCGCTTGTCAATCGCAAAACTGAAAAATGATTTAAGTAAAACTCGTAGCCTATACGGTGAAATTAATTATTTCCCAACACTTGGACCGCTTGTCAGTTATGGAGGAATGCCCGTTTCGATTATTGCTTTGAAAGAGTCTGTTGTTTTTGCACTGGTGCTAATATCTAATAACCTAAGATTCGACCTAAAATCGACTTTCACCATAGTGTCAACGGGATGAAAATGACATTTTATCAAATAAAGTAAGTTTATTAAAAAAAATTGTATTTTTTTTATTTCACCGGTGTGTCTACCACACGAAACTAACTCCAGTGAAAAGTATATACTATACACAATATGCAACACCACTGTCACTTACCTCTATTTGGTCCCCATTACCTCGTAGACTTGGTCAAACAGGTAATAACTTGATGTTAATAGTTGCACTCTTTCGTGAACCAATCCGGACTAGTCTGAAAATAAAAATTTATCATAAATATTGTAGTACAAGGTTGCAAGACATTACTCCTCGTCATCACCTGTGAGAAAGTGAACGTGTTCCTACGCAAACAAGAATAAATTAATTTACTACAAAGCAGCTGTTTGCAAACACGTTTTTTATTGTTTCCAAAATTGAAAATGACGAAGAAAAAGTGGTTTTTGTGTAAAAAAAGGATTTGGTAATTAATTTTAATGAAAAATCTTCTAAACATTGTTCTTTAAAGTTATCATTTCGAGGATTAAGATGATTTAAAAATGCTGAGTTAACCCAAAATTCAACTCAGTTTGACGGTTATCACTCGGCTTGTTATAAAAAATTAGCTGCTTTAAAAAAATTGCAATGAGAATTTTGATGCATTTGTTAAAATCTTTGCTTTCACGAAGTATCTCAGATATTTGAACTGAATCGAAAATTGAAGAAAGTAAATTCAAACTCTGAAACAGAGAGAGATTTTGGTACAGTTTTCGACAAACTAACTGAAAAAATATTTGTGACAACTCAACTCAACAAAATCGAGTAATAAAAAAAAGAAAATGATTACGAATGTTTTCATGAAGAGACGGATACGAGAATGTTTTTTCATGCTTACAAATGTTTTGATAATTTTACTTGGTAACATGCATAAAATTAAAAAGTTTAGCTTGTGACTCCAAGTAAAAAACGGAATGGCAATGATCTTAATTGCATCAATTGCATTTGATGGTCTACCTGCTTTTAATGCATACACTGGTTCCGATTAAACTGCAGCTTTTTATAACAAATAAAAGGTAAGACCTTTCAAGCTATTTTGGACAAACATGCCAAAAATATTTTGCTTCAGCGGACGTTGATCTTCAAGAAATAATTGATGAAATTGAGGAATTCACTGTGGCTATGGGTATTTAAAATTGTAACCAAGTTAACGACCCTTGAACCCTGAAAATTATGGTTTGTTCCTAGATGGGCATTTAAAATAGGTGGTATTTTAGAAATGACAGAAAAAGAAATTGAAGACGATTCTTCTGGATTCAACTTCCGGCGATTCTCCCTTTTCCAGGCCCTCCGCCACGTCTCCCGGCGAACCGCCTGCACAGTGGAGCAGCCGATCTTAAAACCAAATAGAAAATCACAAATGCATTTTGTTTTTTGAAAAAATCCTGATAATTGATTTTTTAAAAGTGTCTCGAAGACATTACCAAATATGAGAACTATTGATATGGGTCGAAAATCACTTGGAGAGTTTGTGTTGCCTTTTTTAAATACTGGAAGCACCCTCGCGACCGTCAATTGCGCGGGAAAAGTTCCACTATCAATACATTTGTTAAATAAAAATGTGAGAGTTGTTACAATCCGGTTGATAATCTCATTCAAAATACTATTATTATCATAATAGTCATACGAACTAGATTTTTTCAATGCAATGACATAGCCTAAAACATCGTCCTCTGCCATCCAGTGAAAGAAGAAAGATGAAGTTATGTTCGGGATTTTATTCAGGCACTCACTCTGTACTTCAAGGTTGACAGTTAAATAGACCAAAATATCAGCAGCAACATTGGTAAAAAATTCATTGGGTGGAAGAGTGCTTGATGGGTCACTTTTTTTATAACAATTTCTTTCATAATCTATAATGTTTCATATATTTCTGGCTTTATTATTAGACCGACTAATATAGTTATCACACGCTTCTTTTTTTGATTTTACGATTATTTTTTTGTAATTGCTGTGAAAAGATTTATAAATAAGTTTATAATCTGGCTTTTTAGTTGTATCAGCAACGGTTTTTATCGCTGCTAACTTATTTCTCATTTGCTTTATGTCGTTATTAAACCAATCCACCTTCTGCTCTGATATTTTTTTAGGGGATTAATCAGTAACTGAAGTTTGTTTATTAAAAGAGAGGCCATTTCTTCAACATCATTTGACAGGTAGAAATTCTCCCATGAAATGTCATTTAAACATTTTTTAATTTTTTCGATTCCTGTTTTCTTCTAGATATTTGTCTAGTAAAAATTTCAAATGAAATTGAATAGTGAAGGTAGATCTTAATTCCGATTCTCTACTATAGATATCCGGTATTTTATGTTCCTCGCTACTACCATGTTTAAGATATGCGAATTTTGCTTTCAGCGCTAATATACCGGAGGGCATGTATCGAATATTCGCCGAATAATTCAATATATGCGCAGAATATTCGACTTAAGATATTTCCGGGATTATTCAACGTTAATTGACATAGTTGAGGTGCACGCGCACATTTCTCAAATAAAAATAACATTCACTTGAAACTTTATATTTCTCACGTGCTTCTAGTTGGATCGTGTTATCGACCGCTTTATCTCATATACGCGCAGAATAAAAGAATAAAACTTGATTAGAATACAAATTCGAAAAAGGGAATGCAAATACACTCTCCGCGCTACTCCACGGCCAAATTAGAAATTAAAAAGCATGATACGTACGACAGCTTATATTGTACGTGGGACTTTTGGAAAAGAAAAAAGAGATACTGCGTCGCTATTTTTTTTTAGCAAGAAAATATCTACAATATTTACGAAATGTGCTCTCAAATTATTATCATTCCGTCGACTTAATTAACGCTAGAACTTAATCGTAACTAATTAAAATTAAAATGGTAACAGGGTTATAAACAACTCGACATTGCTGTAAACGTTATGCGGTGCGTGAAAATTAACGCTTCCTATTAATTAAAACATTATGTTCCAAAATAACGATATTAGAGATATTATCGAAGCATTAAATGAATCTTCGTGCAATTTTACGTTTGAAACAATTACAAACTCCAAAACGCCGGGATGTTTTATTCATAGATTTCCTAAGGAAAATAAATGCATTTTTAAAGTATTTGAGTCAAGGTTTCCGGAAAATGCAGTTTCTGCATTAGTTTCTAAAAATATTTTATATTCTAAAAGACGCCATTTAAATTTCAGGCCTTTCAAATGGTAATGAATATTCTGCTGGTGAAACAATTTTACTTTAAAACTCGAGTCAGATAGAAAAATATCTGAAGCGAATAATAAGTTTTGCTTGCCTTATAGCAAGGGTTGTCAAAAATTACGGTAATGGAGATTTAAATTCAACTGGAAACGAAAAATTGCATTAAAAGTAACAAACATACCTCGAACATTGCATCGAAATTAATACATCAAACCCCCTTTTTGGCAAGCGAATTTTGTGCGAAAAACACGCTTATTAATCATTTCAGTACAACGCCCTCAAATTGAAAATTCTCCAGGGTGTACAATGAATTCGAAGTCATTAAATTTTCATTAGCAAAAGAATTAATTGTCTTCGTTTAATGTCAAAGCCGTACTTCATTTATTTCTGATATTCAAACTCCATGTTTAATATCTAAAACAGGCAAATATTGCATACCACGTACAAGAATTGAACGTTTACCAATTTTGAAACAATTTCAATAACGTGCAGGATATGGGCAAAAATTAACATTAAATGACAAATCACAGAGCCAGTGGCGTCTCGTATTAAAAGAAAGCAAGGCGTAATTCAAACAATCACAAGTCCGGCTAATATAAATTTTTACATTTTTTGAAAAAAAAAAGAAGTGAATTATAACAAAAATTATAATACATAAAACTTATTTCTGAGTTATATAGTTTTGGTTAGTTTCGCTTAATAAATCTGCGTCTAAAAATGTTGGGCTTTGCAAAACTTTTTTTTATAATTTCCAAAATGGATATCAAATTTAGACCATAAATGGCGTTTGGTCATAAAAGTTTTGTGCTTGTTGATTTGCCCCCCACATTTTTTTGGTATATTTTTAATATTTGGGCAATTTTTTAAAAAAATTTATATAAAAAGTTGATAGTAAAAATAAATGCTTTTGGAACCTTTTGAGGTTTTGCCAGGTAATTCTAACCGAATCAATAAATAATTTTCAGTAATTTTCATGATATTTCATTTTCGACGAAACACTAAAATATTGTAAATTATTTTGAGTTGTATGCAATTTTTATGACCAAATATTTGTGGTTTAAATATACTTTAGGTGTCTAAAAATAACAAAAAAAAAAATAGGTGTTCCTTTTGAAGCTTTTTTTACTGAAAAGACATTAACTTAATTATTGATTCAGGATTAAACAAAAGAAACGAATCTCTGCAGAATGGCGTGTGTACGTGTGTGTATGTAATCCAGTATAAATTGTGATTACACCAGAATCGAATATGTCTATTGGTTATTCCATTAAGAACGCAATTCTATCTATGAAGATATTATTTAGGAAAAATATGATATAGTCGGTACGATTTGTGATGGCACAGTGGGAAAGAAAATGCTCATCTTGCTTTCATTTATACTTCAACAGATGTTATTCCTCCCGAAATGTCTATGTGATCCATGCAAGACAGCAGTCACTAATGATCACGATTGTATGACTTAGGAGTAAGAGAATCATTTTGGCATTTATTAATTTAACTAGTAGGCCCATATTCAGAGATTGATTCATATATTTTCTATGTAATAATAGATCAGCGTGTTCCTTAATGATAGGCGAATATTTAAGTAGATGAATCTACATGGCATTATGATAATTTGTTAAATAAACTATTGTCCATGCAATAAAAATTACAATACCAAAAAAATCGGAAAATTTAAAAAAAAATATAATTCCGTATAAAATTAAAATTTCTGAAGAGGAAATGTACAAGTAAACCATATTTAATTTGTATTTACGATAAGACAGTGCCAAAATTGCAACCGCTGCTACCAGAAAATGATCCATCGTCTACATTAATAACCAGTGATGGTACCGTTACATCGAGTGTATTCTCTTTTTCCTCGTATTCTTTTAGTATATTTTCTGTGTGTTATAAAACTGATCCAATTTTCTTTGGTAACTCTCTGGAGAGGTGCCTTCCAAACAGATACTACTGCAGTATCGCCGTGTTTTGCCTCACTTCACATCTTCTCTCTTGGTTTTTTGGTCGACTATGCCATCACAAATTATATCGACTTATCGACATTTAGAAAGGTGAAATGATTGAAAATCTAGGGAAATTATGCCAAAGGATATTTTTTTTTATTAGAAGTATTTATTAAACCTCTTTATATCATTGTCACACATCCACACTTCTCACAAAATAAAATGGTCCTTCTTGTTCTTTGTGATCACATTCTGGTCAGAAATTCGTCAGTTCTCAGATATCACTTTATTTGTTTAAAATAGGAACCGTACATCTTTCATTCAAAACTCCGAATGTCCTGTTTCGTCTAGATACAAATTCTGTCGTTTGGATTCCCGTGCCTTTTAGTATTTATCTCACAATGACAAAGTGATATGTTTTGCTCCTATATCTTCCACGACAGAATTCAAAAAATGATGTTTGGACAAATTTGCTATAACTGGGAGTCAATTATTTCTGATTTTCTTCCAGCTAACTGAAGTATTATCAACTACTACTAAAGAACTTCAAAACAATTCTCCAAGTCGACTTAAATGTTAAATACATACGATAATGAGTCCCAGAACTAGATTGTTGCAAAAAAAATGGATCAGTTTAAGTCTTTAACATGTGTTTCTAGCTCCAGTTTTAAAAATTGTGGACGAATCGGGAAGAAGAGTTTTCGAGCGATACTACAGAGCGGGAAGCACTTTGCTTCTAACATGTTCAGTGAGCAGCATCGGTTTTTCAGAAAATGGACAACCCGATCGTGACATAATCTCCTGGAAACATGGCGATCGAGTTCTCCATGTGGGCAGCAGGTGAGAACGAGAACGTATTATTTTTTTACGTAATCAACGCTTAATTTGTTAATTCGTTTAAATTTGATTTAGGAAAAAACTGTGACGTCGCGTGATCGCTGAAAAATATTCCGCTGCCATTGCAATTGAGGCAAATATTTTTCGGAATTTATGTGGACATTATGATCAGGTCGCATCGATAAAAACGTTTACATTTTAGTTGCAAACAAAACTGGACGTGCCATTTCAAATTAAAATGGAAGCGGAAACGTTTGTTTTTATTTATTTGTCGTGTTTACCGTGCAAGATACAGGCCATAAAACGTTTCATATTTTTATTTCGACGAAATAAAATAAAGCGCAACGAAAAGGAATGTACGTTCGAGTACCAATTTCTTTCGAAAGTATTTCGATAAGTGTTTCGATAGATTTCAATAGGTTTTGAAAAGTCAGAAAGAGTGCAATCATAATATTTCTCGAGACGCTTAGATTTAAGGGTCCACTTTGCCAGTTTTCTTGAAATTTTAATTAGTTACTTCGTTTTTTGAGGGCGTAACCAGAACAACATTGGGGTGAAGGCAAATTGGGAGGATTATAACTTTTTCCCAATAGCATTAATTATTAATCTGGGCCAAATTTAGAAGAGCTTCGAAATCAAATCAATCGGGGAGGGGGAATTTAATCGATTGCAAACATTTTAAAATAGGTTTTTCCTTTGATCACGGACACCATAAACTTGAATGAATGAAATGAATTCCAAAGGAATAAGTATATTTGAGAATTTTTCGAACTTAAAGTGTAAGGGCGTAGAAAAAAGTGTGTGTGTTCAAAAACAAACTACCAAAAAATTAAAAAAATAATATTTTAAAAATATATTTATGTTCAAATAATAATAAATTGATTTTGAGTCATTAGCAGCGCAACATGAGCATTGATCAATTTCTAATTTCGGATTACAAAAACCATTTCAAGGTTTTAAATCAACTATATAACTTTCAAATAGGTTCCTCTCTATTTTATATTTAGAGCTGGCTAATGTAAATATTTGTACATTTGTAAAAAATAAATAAATAAATATTTGTAAACAGATAATAATAATCAGAGAAAGACACGCTTAGATTTCGTCAAGTCAAATTACTCAGGCGCTTCACCAATGCATTTGACTATATTAAGGTTGATTTTTAAGGCAGCTGATTGAGAGATAAAAGATCATGGCGAAATGTATTTTTTTATCTATTTTTTACCAATAATTTGTCATTAAAATATTTCTCTTTTTTAATCTATTTTTTACCAATAATTTGTCATTAAAATATTTCCTGCAGTAATCACAAAATATATAGTCTTAAAAAAAAACATATATTTTTGTTTATATAATTGACAATATTTTTTAAAAAAATTTCGTCAAGTCAAATTACTCAGGCGCTTCACCAATGCATTTGACTATATTAAGGTTGATTTTTAATATTAAAAAGGCAGCTGATTGAGAGATAAAGGATATCATGGCGAAATGTATTTTTTTTAATCTATTTTTTACCAATAATTTGTCATTAAAATATTTCCTGCAGTAATCACAAAATATATAATCTTTAAAAAAAACATATGTTTTTGTATTTCGCCGCTATATAATTGACAATATTTTTGAAAAAATTTCGTCAAGTCAAATTTTTAAAATGTTTGTCTTTTGATTTTTTGAGATACAATAATAACACAAATTTTTTTCTCATAAAACAAGTCCATGCGATTTTAGGTGTTAATTCAATATTCAACAACAATATACAGAATCGGTAGAAATAGGCTATCATTTGTTAGCTTTGAATCTGGTTCTTATTTTGATACGTGGACTTTATGTATAACAAAACTTATGCTATTTAAGAAACGTTTGCAATAACGGGTTTTCATATTCACCAACCCCAAAACAAGTGTCTACTAGTTTAATAAGCACATTTAGAGAGATACAAAAATAAAAATGACAAATAAAAGATTAACGCTTTCCTCGTTGACTCAAATATAAATAAACGTGAAACGAAATTCCTTTCCCCTTGAAATTAGTATTTGAAATGGAAGACGAGCCTGACAAATGGTATCAAATTTTTCGATAACGCTTAACAAATCTTTTGGCGCGATAATTTATTAATTGACGTGAGTTATGTTTTCATAAATTATGATGAATCGCTAAAATTATATATATATATATATATATATATATATATATATATATATATATATATATTCTCACGTATTGATTCACGGATGGAAAAATGTGATGACACTATATTCCGGGATATCATCCGTTCGCTCGTTGAACTCCGACTGGAATCCTGCAGACGTTTCGCCAAAATCTCACTTGGCATCTTCAATGCTCGCGCTCCGAAAACACTTCGAAGTGTGTATATATATATATATATATATATATATATATATATATATATATATATATATATATATATATATATATATATATATATATATATCAATTAGGATTGAAAATATGTCCCATAAAAGTTGTATATGTTTTAACCCTCACATTAAATAACATTTTAAAATTAATTGGGCTCAGTTGCTTTTCAAAACAAATTTGACCTATTTTAGCAGGAGAAAATTAAGAACGGGACTATTGTAATGCCCTGCAAAGGTAGGTACGACAGTAAATTTTTCACGTAAATGCCCCTCATTTTATTAGACGCAGTACACGTTTTCAAGTGAATATTAATCAAGGGACAATATTTATCACCTCTTTCCAATTTTCAACGAAACTGCGTGACAAATTTTAGGCCGACGAATTTGGGTTCTAGGCATTATTTAACTGTTCCATTTGATGATAATGAATTGGGATCGCTCGTAACCAAATATCCGGAGACATATTTCCTTCTTTGTAAATTTTAGCGATTCATCATAATTTATGAAAACATAACTCACGTCAATTAATAAATTATCGCGCCAAAAGATTTGTTAAGCGTTATCGAAAAATTTGATACCATTTGTCAGGCTCGTCTTCCATTTCAAATACTAATTTCAAGGGGAAAGGAATTTCGTTTCACGTTTATTTATATTTGAGTCAACGAGGAAAGCGTTAATCTTTTATTTGTCATTTTTATTTTTGTATCTCTCTAAATGTGCTTATTAAACTAGTAGACACTTGTTTTGGGGTTGGTGAATATGAAAACCCGTTATTGCAAACGTTTCTTAAATAGCATAAGTTTTGTTATACATAAAGTCCACGTATCAAAATAAGAACCAGATTCAAAGCTAACAAATGACAGCCTATTTCTACCGATTCTGTATATTGTTGTTGAATATTGAATTAACACCTAAAATCGCATGGACTTGTTTTATGAGAAAAAAATTTGTGTTATTATTGTATCTCAAAAAATCAAAAGACAAACATTTTAAAAATTTGACTTGACGAAATTTTTTCAAAAATATTGTCAATTATATAGCGGCGAAATACAAAAACATATGTTTTTTTTAAAGATTATATATTTTGTGATTACTGCAGGAAATATTTTAATGACAAATTATTGGTAAAAAATAGATTAAAAAAAATACATTTCGCCATGATATCCTTTATCTCTCAATCAGCTGCCTTTTTAATATTAAAAATCAACCTTAATATAGTCAAATGCATTGGTGAAGCGCCTGAGTAATTTGACTTGACGAAATTTTTTTAAAAAATATTGTCAATTATATATATATATATATATATATATATATATATATATATATATATATATATATTCTCACGTATTGATTCACGGATGGAAAAATGTGATGACACTATATTCCGGGATATCATCCGTTCGCTCGTTGAACTCCGACTGGAATCCTGCAAATCTTGCATCCGACTGGAATCCTGCAGACGTTTCGCCAAAATCTCACTTGGCATCTTCAATGCTCGCGCTCCGAAAACACTTCGAACACTGGGAGGTTATCGGCGGTGCGTGCGGTATTTATACTCTGCGCCGGAGATGGTAACGGTGCTGCTTGTGCGTGGGGGGAGGTGGCTCCGCCCCCTGAATTGTCGCGTTGTTAATTTCGCCCGATCGTAGTTGCGATGTCCCCGTTGGCTGCTGTGCATCGCTCTGCTGTTTGATTATCGTTCTCCACGTGTTGGATAAATGCAGAGCGTCGTCTCTCGTATTGAGGTGTCCGGACTCTTCTATTTCGATGGCCTCTCGTATAATCCTAGTCCTAAAATCAGGAATATTAGCTATTTGTTTGCAAGTGCCGAAATCAATTTTATGGCCTGTCTGATGTTGGTGCTGAAACAAAGCAGATGTTGTTTGTTTGTTTCTTATGGCTAAACGATGTTCCTCGAGCCTGGCTGAAATCCTTATGTTGGTCTGTCCCACATACGTCAGGCTGCACGATCCGCATGCTACACTGTATACTCCTTGGTTTTCCAGAGTAATTTTTTGTTTTGGGTTTCTTAGTATTGCTCCGATGGTATGGTCAGGTTTGTATGCCGTTGATATGTCGTGTTTCCGTAATATTCGGCCGATTTTGTCAGTAACCCCCTTGATGTATGGCAGGACAGCGATCGATCTTCGTTGGGTCTCGTCCTGCACTCTCTGCTGCGGCTGTTGTTGTTTACTGATTGCCTTGCTGATGGTGCGCCTTTGGTATCAGTTTTGTTGAAGACAGGTACTAATTTTCTTCAGTTCTTTATCTCTGTTCCTCTCGTTTGTGAGCCTGAAGGACCGAGCAATTAATGTATTTGCCACTGCCTGTATCTGTGATGGGTGGTGATGAGATTTAGCGTTCAGATATCTATTAGATACACCCATTATATATATATATATATATATATATATATATATATATATATATATATATATATATATATATATATATATATATATATATACAGTGTTCGAAGTGTTTTCGGAGCGCGAGCATTGAAGATGCCCAGTGAGATTTTGGCGAAACGTCTGCAGGATTCCAGTCGGAGTTCAACAAGCGAACGGATGATATCCCGGAATATAGTGTCATCCGTTCATTTGTTGAACTCCGACTGGAATCCTGCAGACGACTCACCAAAATCTCACTTGGCATCTTCAATGCTTGCGCACCGCAGTGTTCGAAGTGTTTTCTTCAATTTCTCTTGGGTATGCGGTCTCTCGAAAACAATTAATGTGATTCTTCTAAATATTTATTAACATTTCGATCGTAATTTCGATCATTTTCAAAATATTCTTATTTTGTATAGGTGAAACATATAACAATTGATGACATTTGTGTTAATATATTAAAAATAAACATAATTTGCAAGCGAATATTTTATACGGATTTCTATACTTTCAGAAAGTTCTCTTTTTTTAGTGTTAAGTTCTGTTAGTAGGACTTTAACTTTTTGAAAATTAAATGTGTGTTTGGTGTTTTCGCAATGGGTATGGAGAGCAGTTTTATTTTTTTTGTCATAGTTATGTCCGTTGATTCTATTTTTTAAATATTGGCTTGTTTGTCCTATATACACACTGTCGCAATTAGAGCATGGAATTTCATATACTACATTACTTCTTTTTTCAACTGGAATTTTTGCTTTGAGTTTAGTGAAGAGATATGTTTTTTGTAAATTAAAACTTTTGTGTCATATTTGAATTTAGTGTTCCTTAAAAATGGTTTGGGGTTTTTCTGATAATCCAGGTATATATGGAAGCGATATATATTTTCTTTGAGGATTTTGATGTTGGTTTCTGTTTACGTTATTATAAAATTTGTTGGTACGTTTATTAAAGATATTATTAATTAAGTTTATGGGATAATTATTTTCTAGAAGTGCGCGTTTTGCTTTTTCAATTGCGTCTGGTCTATATTCTGGATATATATCGATTTTGACAAGTAAATATTCAAAATTGAAAAATAATACTGCAATAAGCTAATTGGGAAGACGGAAAATATTCAAAAATAACAATGCGTTTTTTTTCTTTCGCTAGATATTTACTTCCGATACGGGCGAATTTATAGTGAGATAAGTTAAGTACTACAAAACAGAGAATTAAATGTGTATAAACTATGATCGATTTAGCAGTTCAGAAAGGCTATAGAAGAAAGGTTAAAATTCAGACAACTGATGAGAGAAACATTGGAGATATGACAGATAATGATGTTATAAATGCTTCTAAAATATGTAACCAGTTGTAAATATTTAAAACAACACTTAGCCAACGCACAAATTAATTTCTTTAACACTGCTAGATTAGTTTTACTTTTTTTCTCGATGCTAGGAGCTTCAAACGCTGATTAGAGAGATTCTGTAAAAATATGATTTGAGAAAAAAGAGGAAAATATTTAAGTCTCTGATATCCAAATCCAAAAAGTATAACGCGCAATATTCTACGGAAAATAATTATTTTAAACATTTGTAAAAAATATTTTGCAATAAGAACAATAGAATTAGTATATTTGTAACATCGGAATATATTTTAATGTCTATTTAACAGGCTACAAAAATTAATAACGCAATTAACAATAAATTACGTCAATATTCTACGGTGGCCCGTGACCTTTGAAGAATTAGCGAAAATGGAAACTAAATGAAAATTAATACATTAAAATGATACAGCCACTACGTACTAAAATATGGACGGCTTTTACCAATTAATGCAAAACTCGGATATTTTATTCTCGTTCGGGTTTTTCCTCCACTCGACCATTTACTTTCCACTAAATAATTTAACAATGACTTTCCATTTATAGAAATGCTAAATGGTGAAAAATGTCAGAAATGCGTTAAATTAAATGTGTTTTTCTTGCAATGGCGGCGTTAATACCAGACTCCATAAACGCAATATACTAGAACTGAAACCAATTTTTTAAAATTCGATTTTCTATATTTTACGTGCCGCACTGCTTTTAAATCGACGTACATTACAAATAAGTTCCATTTTTCAACTACGCGACCACCACATAGAAGAGGGTATTTACGGTAGTCTTTTTTTAGAACGATGTGACATTTTTCCAGACCGGAAACAAAACAGCACATAACCATAATTTAGAACGCGTAGTTTTTTATTTAGATGTGTCGCTTGTCTGGGAAAGGATTTCATATAAAGCTATACCGATTTTTACTAAAATGGGACTATAAACCTACTAAAACCTTTTCCATAGTACGCGGTAGAAAATCAAGACGGATGTAGTCGTTCTCTTATATCCTTTATATCCAGGGCTGTTTTTATATAGATCTAGACATTAGACTTAACTTAAAAAAACAAACACTCTCTAAAAGGCCCGTCTTTTTCGTTAAACCGATTAAAAGGAGTTTTTAAAATAAATTTTTCGCGGTACAAGAGTATTTCACATTGATCGAAATTTTAATTAAATAAAATTAAAATTCGCCATATATATGGTTGCAAACTTTAATTTCTATTATTAGTAAATTATTTTAAATGCAAAGATATTTTAATCCCGGTTTATGAATAGGAAAACCAATCAACACTGAGTGGACGTAAAAAAAAGAAAATGAAACAAAACCCAACCAAACCCACAGCACTTTAAGTGATGAAATGTGTAGTTTTTGCAGTATTAATTACATTGTAATTATGATTAATAATCATAACAAAGCTAATGTAGATAACAGATAAATTAATTTCATTTTCGTTTGCTTTCGTTTAAGCAAGTGCCCCGCTTAATAAATCGTACTTTAATCTTATTAAAATATTAACACAACCCAATTCGCAAAATCGACCCTTTGTTTTGTTTTAGTCTAAATATTTCCAAGGAAACCGATTCTGCGGTCTCCACTTTAACCATCATGCCGCTGGAGAAAAGCCACTCTGGGAATTACACCTGTTCTGTCGGAAATTTAGCTGAAACTACAGTAACCGTACACGTACTTAATGGTAAGTGGAAATCTCTGATTTTTCATTACCAAAACTACCAAGTTTTAGCTTTCTATTTATTGGTAGCAGTGTGTATGTAAAGGCTCCGCTGTGCTAAAATGGAAACTGCATTTAATGCGGGCCTTATCAGAGTACAGCATTAGGGGTGGGTTGGGCAAGGCCGCCCACTTAAGCCTTTTATTATTTTTTGTGGCTTTTAATCATCAAGTCGATTTTTTTTTACTAAATTTAACTAAATTTACCGAAAATTTGGCAAAGCTTCTTCTGGTCATCGTGTCCCACTGTCCCCTATTTATAATGTTTTTTATAATAATTATAATTATTTATTTTAAAAAAAGTTACTCATTTACTTTTTACAAAACTTCTGGATTCCTCCTGTGTCGGTTTTTGCTGAGTCGAACTTGCTAACGTTTCGCCAATCATCCTGGTGACTTCTTCAGAGCTCGACTGAGAAGTTTTGTAAAAAGTATGATAGTAGACTGTGGAAGTTTCGTCGAAAAAAAAAGATTAAAAAATTTGTTATTTGTTTTTATAAGATTTTCGAAAACTTAATACATAATAACGTTATAATTATAATAACAAAACAAAGTTTTGCTTTGTTCGTAAATTTGGGAAAGCGTGTGAGAATAAGACATTAAACATCTGAAATAATAAATAAAATCTATAACTCGGGAATATACAAAATTTCCTAACTTCTTAAACTTTCTTTCATTTTATTTTACTTTTTGTTTTGCTGTTCATATTTATCTCCATTTATAGATTATAACAATAAAAATAACCAATTTTTTACCCATTGAAGGTTACTTTCTAGCTTAAATATCTAGAAGCTATGGGGTTTGAAAAAAGCAAAAAAAAAATGATTGTCGCTTTAGTTTACACCATAAAGAGGACATCATACAAATGTTTGTTTAAAGGTCATAAACAACAAAATGTTGATAAAATTAGATTAGACTTCTATTTATTGTTTTTATTATTAAATCCCCACAACATTTCAACTGAAGATACTAGACTAGTTGAAGCGTTGTGGAGAAAAATAATAAAGACAGTGGAAATCCCATCTATCTCAACTCATCGACATCAGACAACTCTGCCGTGAATTACTTCCCACGTATCGCCTATCGAAGTTGATGTACATAACTTCATTCTGAGTAAATTAGTGCACAGCAGCATAAGCTGCTAAATTGCAAAGTACAAACTTTGTTAGTTGGGATCGAATAACGTCGTTACAGGGTCTAAATCCACGGTTTAGGTGTAACACTAACAACACCAAAACGAATTTCTCTACAAAGAGTAATGACATGAAATTCTAAGTTTTATTGTCAAAACGTGCAGCGTATTCGCAACAACTTCAGACTTTAAAAGACTCGAACATCCTCTGGCGCAAATCAGTGACAAAAAAATCGTTACATATAAAGCAACTACAGAGGCGTTTTCAGGGTGGATATCCGACACATAGTGGGGTATGTGGGTATGTTAAATGTTAATTAAAAAATACACAGCAAACGACATTTAACCCATTTTCCAAATTAGCATGCAAACTAAGAACCCCTTGTTTTTAGAAGTACAAAAATATGTAACTCCACTCGCAGTCTGAAGGAGCCACTTAAACCCTGTATAGAATGCCTACAAAGTTTTTATTATTTTCGTGGTATATTATTTTTTTGGATCGAAACAATAAAAATAATCAATTGTTTATTTGATTAATATTAAATAGGTTCAAGAATCAAAAATAACTCACGAGAAATTAACACCATTGGCCAATTGAAGGTTACTTTCTAGCTCAAATATCTAGAGGCTATCGGGTTTGAAAAAAGTGGCTTGGCAGATTCCTAGGTGAATTCTTTTAAATTTTCATTAAAGGCATCTTTTGTTTACTCAGTTTAGGGGCCAAGTGTAGAAAACCTAGTTATCCTAGAAGAAGATAGAATAACTAACGACATTAGCAAATATATGCAATGCTTTCGATTTTAATGCTTTGTAGATATTTTAACTAGGCATTTTATGAAATACCTAGAAATATGCAAGGTGGATCTTTTTAAATGTGAAACTGAAACTAGCAAAAATTGTGGAATTCGCGTTTCGAGTCTGTTAGAACGAAACCTGCAAAATCTAACCAAAGCGAACAGAATATATCATTATATTTAATGTTTTTGGTTAGTTCTGGTTAGTATTCACTTCTTTTCTAGTTTTTTATAAACTGATTTGACCTGGAATAAAATTTGTCCAGTAAGAGATACAGCTGAGGATACAGTTAAATTCCAAGTAGTTGTACAAGGTGTGCTCAAAAAGTAAGGTGACTTAAGTTTTATCACAACGTTTTTTCCAATCCTTGAAGCACTTCTGGTAAGCAGTTTCTGGTATAGCCTTGAGTTGTTCCAACGAGTTTTTCTTTATCTCCTCAATCGTTCCATACCTCCTTCCTTTCATGGGTTTTTTGAGATTTGAGAACAGAAAAAAGTCGCAGAGGGCCATATCCAGTGAATGTGGTATGGTTTTTTGGCCAAAATGTTAGGACACAAACAACGCTGAGGAGGCGTTTGCAGTATGGTGATGCAAAATCCATGAATTGTTTTACCACAATTCCGGAAGTTTTCTTCGTATTGCTTCTGGCAAACGGCGTATAATTTCAAGGTAATACTCTTTATTGATCATCCGACCTTATGGTAAGAACTCTTGATGTACTATGGCACGATAATCAAAGAAAACAGTAAGCAAAACCTTGATATATATGTTATGCGTTTTTGAGCGTATCAGGATCATCGTTGACATCATTTAACAGCTCTTGCGCGATGCTCCTTCTGCGGTCCTTTTATTCAAAATAAGGCAGATTCGGAACAAATTTTGCTGCTACATGTTTCATGCCTAAAACTTCGGAAAAAATTGCATGGCACTAGCCAATAGAGATGCTGGCGTCTTTAGCTACTTCTCTAATAGTAGATTTTTCAAAACCATTTGTTTCACTTCTTCAACGCTTTCATCAGTTATTGACGTGCTGGTGCGTCTAGCGCTCAAAGTAGATTAACCATATGCCGTTGTCAACATTTCAAAGGTTTTGCAGCACTGTATTCCATTTTTTACACAAAATTTTATGCAAATTCTTTGCTCCTTTTTTTTGACAGCACACAAAACAAGTCTAACGCTTCTGTATCACAAAAAAGAAGTAAACGTTGAAACTGGCTGAAATTGTGAACATATGTTAGGAACATGTATACCAACATCACAAAAAATATATCGAAGAACGAATATACCTTGCCTGCCCAATTATAAAAGTCACCTTACTTTTTGAACACACTTCGTATATAATATGCTTCATTTCATAAAATATCTGATAGGTTTTAGGCATTCTATATATTACCAAAATTTTTCAGGTAACAAATCCACTAACTAAGGCATTCTGTGCTCAGAGAATATAATAAAATATAATAAAACAAATATCTTTTACAAAGAAGTGAGCACTTTGAAATAGCCACCGCAAAATTATAGCAAATTATAGGAACTCTCTCACTAATGTGAATCAAGGAACTGATAACAAACAAAAAGAACTTAAACGAAAATTATAAAAGACAACTTTGGTGGCACGCTGAACCAAAGTTGTCATCGAAGATATATATAACGTATTGAAACTTTAATGCAACCCCATTTCAAACTAGATCAGACATAACACCAGAAGATTTTGTTTGTCTACAAAAATCGAATAGCGTTCGTCGATAGCGAATCTGGCGGTTTATGACCCGTTACTGTAACAAAAAGCTCTCAGCCTTTAAATTTACCAAATACATCGACATCAGCGCAATAAATTGTAGCAGTGGCAAAGCAATCAAAAATAATGTAATAAAATAAAATGAAATTTATTTCGAATCCACGGAAAATATTAAAATATTAATTTATTCCTAGACGGGTCTTCTTGGACCCACAACATAGCTTAAGGCCCAGACCCAAAATCAATTTTTTCAGATTCTTTTGCGTAGATTAGTTTGATACTAATTTGCCACATTTACGTACATTACATTCGGCTGCATTTGGTTAAGAAGAAGAGGAAGAAGAATTTATTAACCACATAAGGTGAAATACAAAAACAAAATGTAAAAAGTATAAAGGTGTAAAAATAAACGTATTTTATAAATAACACAATAGTGAACAATAACAAATGTAAAGGTCAACAACACTAACACGGAGTATAAAAATCGTAGAGAAAGTGCTAGATAGTATGTTAAGATCTTCACACATTTCGGTAAGCCAAGGATTTTAATTTAGTTTTTTTATTTTGTTGGAGTACTCGTCCACACTATAGAAACTATTTTCAACAAGCAACACTTTAATATTAGTTTTAAACACCTCAAAACCCATATGTCTGTACCTATCTGGCAGCATATTGTACAAGTTAATGTTTAAAGAATTTTTGTCTGATGTAACAAGACTGTGCTTTGGAACTCTTATAAGATTTTTTGCACGTGTTGGACAACTATGAGATACACCTTCAAATACATTAGTATGTTTGTTAATTTCTAAAAGATTGTGGAGAATATAAATACAGGGCAGTGTCATTATCTTATATTTTTTAAAATATTGAGTACAGTGTTCATTGTGCTTAGCCCCAGCAAGAATTCTTATAGCCATTTTCTGCATCCTGAATATTTGAACAGCATTGACAGAGTTTCCCCATAATACTGTGCCATATGATATGTGCGAATGAAATAAAGCATAATAAACTGTCATTAGGGCATTTTGGTCTAGGCTCTTCCTAATAAGCTGGAAGATAGTTTTCGCTTAAGTCTACTATCAAGTGTAATGCCAAGTAATTGATAAATAATATTTTTTGAGTTTTATCCGTATTCAATTTCAAATAATTATTTTTAAACCAATTTTTCGCATTGCTCTCCAGTTCCCCAGTAATGTTGTGCAGGTCATTCCAATTCGGACCATATAAGGTAAAACTGGCATCGTCCGCAAATAAAACACATTTGTCAAACCCCGGCATAGATCAGCAACATACACTATAAAACATACAGGGCCGTGTACGGACCGTTGGGTGACCCCACTGGACATCTTCACCAAAGAGGATTTACATCTGTCATCGCCCACAAACTGTTCCCTGTCTAGTAAATAAGATTCTGTTAGATTAAGAATTCCGAGGCGAAATCCATACCTAAACAGGTTCTGTTTAAGAAGATCGTGCGAGTTACAGTCGAAGGCTTTGCTAAGGTCACACATTGTCAACCCCACTCGATTTCCAGTCTCAAGACCCACCACCACATCTCCCACGACCTTACTTATCGCATGTATGGTAGAGCGCCCCTCCCTAAATCCAAACTGCTCGTTCCCAAAGATATCCTGCTGCTCAAAAAAGTTAACTATTTGTGGTTTTATAACCCTTTCAAATTTCTCACCAATATGTGGCACTATGGATATGGGGCGAGAGTCCCCGCTCTTAAAGATTGGAATAACTTTAGTAATTTTTAAAGTATGTGGAAAAATTGCATATTGGAATTACCAGAGCATCTATAAGGTTTTTTAGTAAATTGACATTGATTTCATAAGCGTCAGAGCAACTAGAGTTTCTTAGACTGAGAATCGATGATTTAACCTCTAATTCAGTAACAAAATTAAGTGCAAAAGAACTTTCATTAAAGGGTATTTGACTAATTAAACCACTTTGAAAGTCCGTATCGATATCAAGCAGCAACAAGACATTATCAGCAATGATCGAAATAATTTCATGAAACCTTAATAAATAAAATACACGGAAAATACGCGATACAAACGAAGCTAAATATTTTGGTGGCAGCTATCTCGTGTGACAAGGTTAAACTATTAGATTTGTCGTCCTCATTTTTTTTAATCCGGATTCAAAATTTAGACATGAAAGTCAAACATCCAGCGTGCTTCGCCGAATTAGCACTTCAAACAGCAATCTAGTCTTTTGAAAGCTCTTTCGAAAACAGTTTAGGCTCGATTTAAGTTGGGCCTAATTTTTGATTTAATTCTACATGACTTGAATTTTAACGAGTAGATTATCCTGTTAAACTGAATCGCGAAAGTTTGAACCCTTTTTTTTTATTTAGATTGAGAAGAAATATGTTGAATTCGAAGTATATCTCGTCGAATTTATTATAAAGTTACAATGGTCTAAAACTTTTTGAAAACCATATGCAAAAACAGCAAGCTTTTGCAACACATTGTCTGCAATACAATTTCTATAATCTTTATCATAATACAGTCTTGCCAATGAGTTCTCTGTTGTTGGCTCTGGTCAGGAATATTTTCAAAGCGTCTCTCATTGTAACAAATAAATGGTAGTGATTGTAAATTTTTACATAACGCCAATTTTTAAATCACGCAAAGATCAGAACTGAAAAATTGAAGAAGAACAAGAATTTATACTTTGTAAATTTGTTACTATCGAGAACCATATATTTCAAAATACATATGATGATCCCTAACTAAATTATGCCCAATTTAAAAATATACCATTTTTATTTTAAAATCTGTGGATCTTAAGCAGAAAGAAAAAGCTGACTAGAAGGAAAACCTAAGTTCTGCATCACCCTGTGCACAGGGGCAGATTAGATATCTGAAGACCAAAAGTGCAGATTTATTATAACTCGGTAAAAATAGAATGGAATAGATTTTATTTGACTACGTTTTTATAAAATAAATTTACAATTGCACCAGGCCCCAAAGGAAGACAATAGTTATACAAGCCATTAGACAAAACAAAACAAACAGACAACAAGATAATTTAAATTTTGTTAATTCAATAATACAATTGGTAATTATGAAAATTTGCAGTGGATGGTATGTTGTCTTCCGTAAGAAAAAATTCAATGAGTGAATAAAACACGAAGATCCATGGCAGAGGCATAATTCTGTGTTCACGGAAAAAAGGCTGACAAGACTAGCGATAGCCTCCACCGAAGATCTCCCTTTTGCATTATAAAATCCCTTTTTACAGCAGGGCAGCTTCTCCAGACAGTCTAGAATGAAATAGATCAAATTAAACCATAAGATTTCTGCTCTCGGCAAAGACTCAGTTCATTGGAACTTTTTATTTTCGTTTTGGCTCTCTTTCACCGGCCCATGTTTTGCACTGACTTCTCGAAACACCCTGGCTGTCATTTAATTTCTTTATGTTGTCAAATAGAAGACGAAATGTTGTTGCAGTTTATTTTAATGCAGAAATACTTTCGTTTTTCTGATAACCGAAACACAAAAATTGGTAACATTTTTTTAGTTTTTTCGTGCTGCTCAAAATAATATTTATTTTTAGGTGAGCTACCCGCTGCGGTTCAGACAGCGGGAGTTCGAACGACATCTATTTCATCGTGTGTTTTGTCGATTCTCCTCTGTATATCAATGTTCCGAAGGTGATTAGAATTTTAAATATTGGAGTCGAAATTCTTCTAGGGTAGTATAAAGCAAATGGAGCGCCCATAATGCATAAACGACAAAGTTAAGTTGCGAAGTTTATGGCGCAATAAAAGTGATACCATATCAAAGATGATGTGAATGGACCAATAAAACGAAGACTGTTATTCTATAGTGTTACAAAATAGGTGTGAAGAAAAATATCTAGAATTTGTTACGCTTTCGTCCGAGTCACATTTCTAAGTGTTTAGTGACTAGGCGTTAGTAAAACATGTTTATCTGCTATATAAATAATAACCTTCACCCGTTCTGTTAAAGAGAATTATATATCCAAATATTATTCGACGATAGAATAGATTTGTTATACTTTTCAAATATTTAAGAGTTACCTTTACGAGACAAGTGACGGGACGGCATTTTTGGAAGTGATTGAATGTATTCTCGCATATGTCGTAGTCTTCTATAACAATTGGTAGCACCTAGTGCGCTACTGCAGGTGCCAAAATTACTCAGAAAAGATCATTAGAATAAGCGTAATATTTCCAATTCCAATGTTTTATTAACTATTTTTATATTATACTATTTATGTATCCGTCTGTTCCAAATGGTGTTTTCTGCAGCCGTGCTTGTGTTGTTACAAAGCGCGGAGAACTTCTTTGATGTTAGTTAATATATTTTCAACAGCAATTGATAGGAGACGCCAAACTTTTATTTATCAATTTTCGATTTACAAGGTGTTCCAAAATCTGGATGTCCCAATGGGAAACTCCGCTTATCCTACATTTTCAAGAATTGAAAACTTGTATAATCACATTGTGAATAGCACATATAATTTCCAAACTACGGGGGAAAATTGAAAAATTAGCGATTTTCAACATTTGCCATATCTTCCATATATGTAAGGTTTTTTGATTTCGTAAACACTTTTCCACTGCAATTTTTTTAACATAAATACAATGACGCATTTATTTATGTATTTATAAATTTGAGCTGTTAATTACATTGTCACAAGAAATCACTTTCTGGGTTAAAACTTTAATTTAGTTAGAATCTTAATTTGTGTTCAGAATGACAGACGTAAAAAATAAATAAATAGAAAATAAAAAGCATCGGGAAACTAAAATGTAAACTTAATCATTAGAAAGGCAACTAAAAGCAATATAAATTATTTGTATTTAAATGCATTTACATATGTCATTTTCTTTCTGTTAAAAATGTGGAATGAAAAAGTATATAATTAGAAAATCAGAATATATTTCATATTGAAGAAGATATGACCAAATTAAAATCGTCAAATTTTCAATCTTCCCTCGTAGGTCAGAAATTACGCGTGCTATTCACTTTTGATGTCCAGAAATAGTTATTAATAATAACGACTTCAAATCGGAACACCGCGTTAATAGGGGCGATAAACCTTTTTCTGATTACGACCGATAAGCTGCGTATTATATTGTAATTGTATATGAAACTAGGCTATTTTAAACGAAAATTAGACAGCAAAGGCACAACGATTCAAGGAAAAATTAATCCAATTATACTCTACGCATTGTATATAGAAATTAGATTTGGGGAGGTATTGTATATTACATGCAATGGATCATCGAAAACCCATACCCATATGGGAATGAGAAAAGGACGAATAAATCACATATGAAATTAGTTCTAAGTTTGTTTGCCAATTTAAAGATACTTAAAAATGTAAAATTTCTGTTCGTATTGTTTTAAGTGTAGCGTGGAAAGTACCGCCCTGTGCATAAAGGTGCTAAGATAAATACGATTAGCGTGATATTTTAAGTATCTTTAAGTAATAATTAAAATATGTATAACTGTATAAAATCACTCGAGCTGTTTATAAAACTGTCTATAATAGAATGTAGTTTCAAATGGTTTATGTAAGCATCTCAAAAACTTTTCTACTAACTAACCAAAAAGTTATTTTCAAATTTACTAATTATATCTAATGAAACAATCAAATATGGGCTTTACAGTTCGTGTATACGTCACTGTGTTTTTGTGAATTTACTTGGATCGCAATAACACTAAAATATGTGTAATAACCGTAAATGTTAACAAATATATTCCGCATTGTTAAAAAAAACGTATTAAAAGTTGCACTTTGATGTTTATACTTATTATGTGTACTTATTGTACCCCACGTATGTCAAACTTTGGAGGATTTCAGTGACAATCAGAAACCTGATTGTCGATTCCCTCTACACCCAACAAGTTATAAGGGATTTTTGATTAATAATCTGTACCTATATACTGAATATCCTACGATTATATTGTCAGTGTCACCGAAGTATTTGAAATATCCAAGTAAAATCAAAACAAATCCACGTAAAAGCCCAAATTGCATAAATTTGTTAAAAGAAATTAACGCAATGACCCTTATAACGCTTAATTTAGAACTAATTCCGTTTTAACACAAGAAGAATAAACAATTTATTCTTGTGGTTTTGCAATCAATTATCATAAAGGTAGGTAATAAATGATTTAAAAACATGATTTTTCGAATTCTTTTGTGCACATTGAATTATAAATGTTTTAATGTAACTGCATTGATATAATTATAATAAAACAGGTTATTTTAAAAAGAGAATGAAATAAATAAAACCGTTATTGGACTTTTTGTAGTTTCTCTTTTCCCTTCTTTATTTTTTGTTTACACAGGTATAATCAATCGCACACAACTACTGCATGAGACTTTCGTAAACTATAGCCACAATTAAAGCTCTCTACAAATTCAAAAAATAGGGAAAATAACTAATTTTGCCAATCCAATGTACAGCATGTCCTTCTAAAAATATCAAGATTGATGCTACTTTCTAGAAGAAGCGGCAACGTTGTATCGATGAAAATATATTACATCGATAGATCGTCCTGACTCATGCAAACGATCAAATTTTCAGCACGATCCTACGTCTCGTTCACCATCACCATTTAACCTGCCTTCCACCGTAATGTATTACTGTTTTCACAAGATGTTTCCCTTGCGACATTTTGGGCGATATCATCGCCCCGTTTCTGACATGACGTAGGACATTACCCAGTTATCTATATTTGCCATGAGTTTCATAAGCTGCTAGATTGTCTTCCGGCAAAATTTTAAAACTGTGAAATATGTCAAATTGTAAAATATAAAGAAAGTCTGATTTTGCGCTACTACACAGACGGCTCCATTTTGGATTTAAAGAAAATTTATACAGTAACGCTAATAAAGAATAGCGAATATTCAACACTCAATGTAAAAAAAAGTTCTCGTTTATATCAAAAATTCGAATTCTTGGTAATACATATTACGGACAGCGACAAACTATTTGCGATAGATGTTTTATTTATAATAATAAATGCGATTTTTAATGAGCAATGTAATCAGCACTTTTAGATCAATAGTGATGCAACTTTACTTACCTAATAAAAGACGAAATCTTCTACACCTTTTAAAACCACCCGGGGAGAGTTCAACCAACCCATACATTGCAAAATAATGCATAAATTTGATTAGGTGGCGCCATCTATCGTCGAAGCTACGCACGAATTCTAACGAGAAAATTTGTAATTTTATTTGAGGTAGATTCCTAATTGATTTTTGGCATCTTTGCTCATAAATTGATTTTTATTTCTTATTTGTTGGAGAAAATGAATTTTATCATTTTTTAAACCAGAATCGTAGACTTGAGTGTAGAACTAGTTCTGCCATCTATTTGGAAAGTGTCAAACTTTTTTTTTTAATACATAATTTGAATTATTTCAAAATCTGAAAACCAATTCATTTCTAAAAAAATACCAGAGAAAAACCGCAGCATTTTTTTGGAAATTTAAAATGTAGTAACTATATTATTTATAATTTAACTGATGCGGTACTTGCGCAAATGAACGGGTCGAAGTGGGGATAGAACAGAAAGAGAGTGACTTCATTTCACTGTACATTCGTTCGGAAAGATTTGGTGCAATATATTTAGACTGTGTAGTGTAAACGCTATAATATTGGAATTTTCTCCGCCGCAATAAAATATATTTTTTAATTATAGCCTCCATGTGCCCCACAATGTAAATAAGAGTGTTACTTAGAAAGTTTGTGAAAGAATAAACTCCCTACACTTCTCTACTAGTTACAAATTCAAAAGGAATCCAATGCAAAATCGTGCCGTGTACGGAACATTAAAAAATGGAGGACAGTGCAATCGAACTGCCAACGGCTGACGTAAATCTCAAATATATTAAGAATTTAATTGGGGTTAAAGCGGGGTAGATGCAAAATATAGTCGTATAAATTCCTTCAAATGGCTGCGTTTAATATTAAACCATCCAGTGGGTGGATACATTCCGACAAATTGATTGCCAAGCAAGGAGCAACCTATGCAGTAAGGGTAGGTAAGAAAATTGAAAATAACATTAATTTACTTGTCCTGTTCGTATATGTAGTCCCTTGGTAATAATAAAGTCATTGCAATGCCACAAATGTGTTGTAGGGAAATATCAAAACTGCCACACCCAGTCTAATCATATTTACGCAAAAACAAATTCTGCCAAGTCAGTCGTTTTTTTACACCAAGCATATTATAAAATGTAGCATTATATTTGTACCCATTAACTTTCAATTAGTAGTTCAAAACAATTTCTTTGTATATTTGTCATTTGCTAATTACATGTTCTTTTATAGCTGTATGTGTAGAACCATTTTAAACTTATGAACCTTGTTTCTTTATGAAACAGGTTCTATTTAAAAATATATCTCTATATTTATAGTTATATAGGTCAGCCTAAATCTATATATAATTAATATCTTAGACTTACATTAGAAAATATTTTTTGAAATACAAAGCCTTGTCACTAATCAGCTGGAACACTTGAAAAAGTCAAAGGTCACATTAAAAGGAATGATTTTTAATTTTCGCGGTAGTAAGATAGGCAAGTAGATATTTCTAATCAATAAAGAAAAATATTCACCCAGCACAACTATTGCTGGCAGTACTAGCACGCCAGTTTGAAGTGCATAATCTCAGTAAAAAATAACGCCAAGACCTCATTTTAGACTATATTTCTGCACATAATTCACAATGTGTCTTTTTTGCAGTATGTAGGTTGCTTGGAGATCAAAATATCTATGAAACTACTGGATTTTAAGACCAGGTCCAATGTGGCTAAGTAGGTTATATTATATTATTTATGGTCTTTTTGAATAAAAATATATATTCCCAGGGAATGCATAAACAGAGTGTGTGAGGCTGCAGGATTAAAAACGGTAGATAAGAAACGTAAAGTTGATAGGAAAGTCTCAAAGGTGATTGCTGAGACCCCAAATATGAACCATGCTGGAACAAATGTTACTCTGAAGGTTTCCAGTGTTAGTCTCTCTTTAACTTCCTTGGACAACAATCAAGTAATTGCTCATCATGAGATGCCTAAAATTTCCTTTGCATCGGGCGGTGATAGTGTAGGTTGGCTTTCATGAAAACTATTAAACAGTTTTGAAATAAACAAAAATTGCAGGACACTCTGGATTTTGTCAGCTACATAGCAAAAGACTCAAATGATCTTAGAGCTTGCTATGTGCTTGAGTGTGGAGGAGGTTTGGCGAAAGATGTTATCTCCACAATCGGACAGGCCTTTGAGTTAAGGTTCCAGCAGTTTTCAAAACCAAATGTGTAAGTGCTATTTCTAGGTGTGAGGCTAAGAATGTTGCATTGAAATAATAAAAATTGCAGCTTTGCCACGACAATTGGTCAACCTTCAACATCAACGGGTGGAGATGCTGAAAAGGATTACTACAACGACCTTCCTGGGAAAGTACCCCCTGATGTTGTTGGGCCACCACCAGTACCACCTTTACCTGCATCAGTCCCTCCTTTTACCACTCTTCCCCCTGTTACTCCAAATCTAATAGATTTCAATTATATTACTTCTGAAGGTCCCCATCACGATTATGTTAATGATAACATTGCGATAAGCAGAGAAAGAGACGTTTTTGATATGCGTAAGTTATTTTCGTTTCTAAGCATCATTTGGTCCCTTTTTTAAAAACAGGATTTATTTTTTAGAACCTTTTACTCAACAAAGTCTGACATCTTCCGATTACCAAAATAGTGACAATTTGGAACAATTGCGTAACGAGCTTTGGTTTCACGGACAAATTAGCCGCGCCTCAGCAGAACGATTGCTTCAGAAAGATGGCGACTTCCTGGTTCGCGAATCCATGAATACCCCAGGACAATTTGTCCTCTCTGGGATGCAAGACAATAATAAGAAGCATCTGTTACTTATTGATCCTGAAGGAGTGGTAAGATATTGCCTTTATGACTAAGCTTTTCCTGTTATCTATTATTATAATTATTATTATTATTGTTATTAGTATTATTATTATTTGTTGTTTTTGTAATGTATTTAGTTTCCAATTATGTGTAAAGCAGAGTCTATTATTATTATTACTATTATTATAATTATTATTATTATTATATTATTATTATTACTTAATCAAACCGAATTAATCTTTTTTCTCATTGTTTCAGGTGCGTACCAAAGACCGAATGTTCAACAGTGTTAGTCATTTAATTCAGTTCCACTTCGATAATGCTCTTCCGATTATATCAGCGGAAAGTGCTCTGGTGCTTCGACACAAGGTTCCGAGAGCATCTTAACTGGTGAATATATTAATTTAACTTATGTTGTTATTCGTTTAGCAGCGTATTCGGTTTATTGGCAAGTTTAGCGTAAATTCAAGTACAAATTTTATACTCACGTTAGCTAAATTTGGTTTAACACATCAACAAGTGAGATATTTATAATATTGTCTATAAAATTGTAGTTAATATAAATATATTTTTTATTTAACGAGCATATATCATTTTGGCGGATACTGTGCAATTAAAACTCGTATCGCTATTTACTTCCGTGTGATATCATGCGGGTTTGATTTTCTTGCACTGCCTACAATAAAAAATCAGCGATGGCAATAATAATTTATTATGCAAGCAATCAAAAAAGTACTTTTTAGTACTTATTGAAAATTTCTTAAATTTATATTTACTCATAAAGATCAAAGTGTTTAAATAAAATATCATGTTCTGTGTGTGTCTGTGCTTATGTTAAGTACATGTTTTATACAGGAATGGTTAAAATATATATTTTAATAAATATTTATTTAACAATATTTCTGTCGAATGCCTTATCAAACAAGGGCCAATAAATAATTATTTTGTATATCGAACTTTATTTACCCAAAAGAATTTTTGAAATGGAAATACAAGCGGAATAGTTCAATTGAACGCAATTTGAAATAGTCCCTTTATTGTTTTTAATAGAGTGCTGTAGAATCAGATGCCAAGTAAAGTAAATACAAACAATCTTTTTAGCCAATTAAAAAATTGCCAGCTGTGTTCGCAAATTTATTGTTGTTTTGAATAAAGAGTTACATATTTTTTTTTACAAAAAAAATTCTTCTGACTGTTCAGACCTATCAGAAAATGAAGATTTGCTTATTTAGGTTGACTTAAACTGATCGTTCATTGTTAAATGATTGTTTGAAAAAATATTCATTGGAGGCACAATACATTTTCAAATGTTATTTTATGTCTTAAAGTTGTAAATTAATTTGCAAATATTTCTTTTTAAAGATATTTTGTATTCTATTGGTGTTTGGCAAGAGGTGTTAGTTATAAACTTTTCTTCTCGCGGTTTTACATTCATTCTCTTCGCCCTGTTCGAAATGAACTGTCATTTGGTTTGCCACTGATACTTTATATCAGGATATACATCCCTTTTCAAATACTTTTAGTTTTTTTTCATTATAAAGAGTCAAATATTTGCTGAAAGTTGTTGCAAATGAGAATTGATACTTTTCAGTGAAAACTATTTTCTTTTAATTTTCCTAGAGTTTGGCTTAACCAATTCAAAATTCCGGGGCTATGTTCCCAATTTTAAAATTTGAAAATAACGATTTGTACGTGGTTTTTTGAATGTCATGCACGTATGGGAAAAAATCTAGAAAAAAGTGTTTTACTGGAGACACATTTTTATTACGAAATTGTCTTTAGACCTTCAGTATGTGCAATCAAATATTATTTTTAAAAGAAATCTGAACTATTAGTAATTAATTATTTTATACATTTATATATATAATAATAATAATATATAATTAATTTATAATAAATATTTTGAATCCAGCTCAGTTCTAGTATTTAGGAAAAAAATTAAGGTCCATTTATTGTAATTGCAAACGTCTTTGTCTTGTCTTTAACAATATTTTACCAATTATGAATTTTTAGACTCTTATTATTATTATAGCTTGTTTCATTATTATTGTAATATTCAGGATTAAGATCTTAAGCTAGACTTCGCCGTTTGAAATGCGTTACTGTATTAGTTTGTATTGGTATTCAGTAATTTTGTTTAAATATTTTGCAATAATTTAAAATACCTCAACAAAAACTATTATTATTATTATTATTCTTATTATTATTATTAAGGAACATCCATTTCTTCTGTGAGAAAATCATGATTTTATTTCTTAATAGTTTAAATTTGTTTTCAAATTCTTTTGTGATATGTAAAGGTATATTTTTCGCATAGTGGATGGTGATTTCGTTTTTCCAGTGAAAAAATGTTCTCAACTCACTAAATGTAGTTTTCCATTTTAATCTATCCTCTAAATGTTTTCATATTGATTCGCTCCAGATCTCATTTTTAACGCTAAGGTTGTTACTTTGTCCATTCCAAAAGTATCCAAATTTCTTCCAAAAATAATTTCTGGCTCCTAGCTGCAGTAGCTGCAGAGACACAGAAAAATATTCTATTTTTAAATCGCATCACTCATTGGATAGGAAAAAATCCGCCAGTCAGTTATTAAAATACTTTTTGCATTGGAATATTATTTCCATAAATATATGTCAAAAATATGTTTTAATAAGGCTAAGTTTTTACCAAAAATAAAAGAAAAATGCAAAATTCTTATTTTATGTAGTGTAAGCCTTTAATTTTTTACGCTTTGTTCTTGTGCCTTGTATTTTCATATATTGGTAATGGTGATTTCTACAACGATTTTGAATCTCGCGGGCAGGAAATGAAGCAAAATGAATTTAATTTCTTGGTTTTTACATTATGTTTGTTCATTCAAATATCACCTCTTTGTAAAGAGCGCCTAAGATCTGTGGAAGTGACGTCAAGCGTAGCGATTGGTCCTATTTTGGCGTTCTCGTTTTCCATTGGCCTTCTCATGATGCTGGCTTACGCGCAGACGCGGTTGTGCTGTCGTTTTGCCGTCGATTCTTTCAGAATTTCAAACATGTCCGCTGTGACGAGTTGTCTCGGTTAATGGGAAGTCTTATGGATAACCTTAACCCTTTTTTATTAGTGGATAAAGTGGAAATATAACCTAAAACTGTGCGATATTAAACCCGGTGGTCAAAAATAAGCAGAAGTATGCAATTTTAATTCTAATTTTGTTACTTAATTTTATAGTTCGCATTAAGGAACAAAATGGCGTCGCACCGTGCTTCAAATTGAGGATTTTTTTTTAAACATTGAATATTCAGGATATATTGAGAATTAACGTAACTATTTTGATTTCTCTTTATTGAGGGATGTTTTTTCTTCCCTCCTATTCGGTTTTTACAAAGCTTTACTAGGTGTAATACTTAAAAATTAGAAGAAAACTTCCTGGAGAATGCCTGAGGTGAGTTTACCCCTAAATCTTTTTTTCTGTTTGTGATATATTATTGTTGTGGTTCTTTTTTCGTTCGCCGATGTGTCTTTATGTTCCCGTATTAATGTTAAACCAAGGGCGTGGCTCTACCACCTTCAACATATTTTTGAGTTTTTCTGTGAATATATTTGTTTACAAGTATTTTTGTGGTGTTTTAGGGTGAAGGTAGCAGTGTTCCACCTTTTTCTTTTCACCTAAGGATTTTCTAAACTTTTGTCCACGTGTTAAGCCAAAAAAATCGCATTTTTAAATTGTACCCTTTTGAGCTATTTCACATTGAAATTTGGGCAATTTTGGCTATGTTGTCGCTCTTAGTTATCTTAGGCAAACCCTCATTTTGCTTTGTGTCCTTTGCAGTAACTCTGTAACAATCTTTTGTTACAAAACTGCAAAAAGTTGATAATCATATTTTTTTAGAAATATTTTATGAAATTGGGGTAGTTTTGAAGGGCGCAACTACTTATTGCTTTCTTAGTAACTTCGTCGGAAATATTTCTTTGTTTGATGAGTGTAATATGTATTTTAATATCACTCTAAAATTATGAACTGATGTCCGTTTGCATTTAAACATTCAAAATTTAACCACCTGGGGCGGGGGGGGGTTAATTTTCGATAGTCATATTTATTTAGATTTTATTTCTTTGTTTTGCTAAATTCAATTAAACCTTCTCTCTAAACATAAAGATAATTTGTTTTGTGATCAACTACTGCATTTTTCCAAAAAAAATGAGGGGGTTCTCGCACAAATGGAAACTAGGATAAACTAGTTATTTAAGGATACTTTTGAGTCCACGTGTTCTCTAAATTAAATGCACGTTGTAGCTAAGTGAAGCTGAGTAGCAAATATTTTGGAGTGATTATGTGGGGTAGTTGGGGTTGGACCCACCTGCCAGTTGACAGGATTTAAAATTAATTTTTCCTTTCGTATTTTACATTATTGTGAAATCATTAGCCATCGGATAATAAAGGGGTGGATAGTGTTGGCCAGCCTGTAATTTAATGAAATAAATATTTGTTACCATTTATTTTCAAAATAAAAAATTCTCCCTATTAGAATGTTTGGGCTTGAAGGCGCCTTATGTACTAATAACTCATTATTATTTCTTTAGGTCTCTGTAACTCTAACTAATTTTGTGTTCTCATTTATTTCAATTCAATATATTGTTAAGTGATAATCAATAGTTTATAATTTTCCAAATTTCTGTGGGGTAATAAAAATTGACAATTGAAGTCGAAATTTTATAGAGCGGAGAAGAATCTGAGAACTCAGCTTCGGGTTCGGAAAGTGGTAGTTCTTCAGAAAGTCAACAAAATTCAGGCTCTGAAAGGTAAGTACAAAATTTATTTACTATATGAAAGCACACTATAAAGGACTAAAAAAATATGGCAACGTGGCTTTTGGTTCTGATCTGTTCTGTATAAATTCTTAAAAATCTGATCTTATTTCTACCTAAAACCGGCTCTTCTCTCTCTCGTTGACAACTACTGGATAATGTTGTTCCTTTGTTACAAGTGTAATGACAGAACACCACTAGAGTTTCGATTTTATTATAATTTAGAAAAATCATTTCAACACTCATAAACTTTTTCAGAATTTCATTTTTTACATAAGAAAAAGTTGTCATGTAAGTTAAATTACATTACAATGAAATTACATAATTTTCGTCTTATTTGTTATATAGGGTGTTTCAAAGCAACTGCGAAAAACTTAAGGGGGGTGATTGCTTATTTAAAATAAAGGGGAGTTTTTTATGAAACTCGGTCAAAAGGATGATATCCCTCCACAAATCTAACGAAAAAATAATGTTTTTATTTTTTATCTTAAAAACGAAAATAGAAGAATAAATTAATGCGTTACTATTATAAAAACATTTTTTTCATAATTTTTTATTTTTTAAAAATGAGTGGAGGCGATTAAATTAGACTACCCCTACCCCATAGTGCTTCAAAACTAAATTTAAAGAACAACTAACGCAATGGCATGGACAAAATAAATTTTGATCGACGCGAGACTAACCAAAACCTACAGTTTCGAAATAGAAAAATTTAATGTGAAGCATTGTCGAAAAAAAAAACATTTTTGCGCCATATTTGACCCAAAGTTTATGTAACAAACTACCCTATATTTTAAACAAATAATCACCCCTAATTTTTTTGCTTTTTTTTTAAACACCTTGCGTTCTATAGTTTGCTGCATTCACCTTTCTACATCCATACGATCATATATTTTGAAAACATTCTCACCACTTTAGAGCTCCATTCTTTGAAATGCTAATAAAATAAAAATATATTTCTTAATGCTTTTCGGTTTATATCTGCCTTCTGTGAAGGACACAAACCTATTATTACCATATAAATAATCGCATGGCAATTATTCATGTTTTTCCATCCATACGATCATTTATTTTGAAAAAATTGTCACCATTTTAGAGCTCAATTTTTTGAAATGCCGCTATTTGTTTTTTAATTAAAGCAAAATATATTTCTTAATGTTTTTTTCGTTCACCTCTGCCTTCTGTGAAGGACACAAACCTATTATTACCATATAAATAATCGCATGGCAATTATTTACTTTTCTACATCCATACGATCATTTATTTAAAAAAAAAAAATGTCATTTTAGAGCTCAATTTTTTTAAATGCCGCTATTTTTTTTTTAATTAAAGCAAAAAATATTTGTTGAATTTTTTACCGTTCATCTCTCCCTCCCACGAAGGAGACAACCTATTATTACCAAATAAATAACCGCATGACAATTATTCACGTTTCTACATACATACGATCATTTATTTTGAGAAAATTATCACCATTTTAGAGCTCAATTTTTTGAAATGCCGCTATTTTTTTTTAATTAAAGCAAAATATATTTGTTGATGTTTTCTCCGCCCATCTCTGCCTCCTATGAAGGACACAAACCTAATATTACCATATAAATAATCGCATGACAATTATTCACGTTTCTCCATCCATTCGATCATTTATTTTGAAAAAAATGTTATTTTAGAGCTCCATTTTTTGAAATGCCGCATTTTTTTTTTTAATTAAAGCAAACTATATTTGTTGAAGTTTTTTCCGTTCATCTCTCCCTCCCACGAAGGACACAACCTATTATTACCAAATAAATAACCGCATGACAATTATTCACGTTTCTACATCCATACGATCATTTATTTTGAGAAAATTGTCACCATTTTAGAGCTCAATTTTTTGAAATGCCGCTATTTTTTTTTAATTAAAGCAAACTATATTTGTTGATGTTTTCTCCGCCCATCTCTGCCTCCTGTGAAGGACACAAACCTATTATTACCATATAAATAATCGCATGACAATTATTCACGTTTCTACATCCATACGATCATTTATTTTGAGAAAATTATCACCATTTTAGAGCTCAATTTTTTGAAATGCCGCATTTTTTTTTTAATTAAAGCAAACTATATTTGTTGAAGTTTTTTTCCGTTCATCTCTCCCTCCCACAAAGGACACAACCTGTTATTACCAAATAAATAACCGCATGACAATTATTCACGTTTCTACATCCATACGATCATTTATTTTGAGAAAATTGTCACCATTTTAGAGCTCAATTTTTTGAAATGCCGCTATTTTTTTTAATTAAAGCAAAATATATTTGTTGATGTTTTCTCCCTCCGTCTCTGCCTCCTGTGAAGGACACAAACCTATTATTACCATATAAATAATCGCATGACAATTATTCACGTTTCTCCATCCATTCGATCATTTATTTTGAAAAAAAATATATTTTGGAGCTCAATTTTTTGAAATGCTATTTTTTTTTTAATTAGAGCAAAATATAACTCTCAATATTTTTTCTGTTCATCTCTGCCTATTATTACCATATAAATAATCACATCGCAAAAAACATGCTCCTCTTGGTAGAACAAAACAATAGAACAATTTTTGTAGCGGTTCTGGATCTTCAAGTGGTGATTCTGGTTCGGAAAGTGGCGAAGAGAACGCATCCGATGACGAGCAACCAAAAACCAATGAAAGCGTTCAAAATACTTTATATCCAAATAGTCCAAGCACTTCCACGCCATGGAGTGAACCAAACAAAAGAAAATCGGAATCCGGTGAGGAAAGTGAAGATACTGTTACAAAATCAGCTAGATATAAACGGGAACCGGCCCGAATACAAGCAGATACTCGAAAATCTAGAAAAAGCCAACAAGAAGACTGGAAGTATAATGACGCGAGTTCATCTTCGGAATCGGAAGAGGAAGAAAGGGAAAAACCGCCACCTAGTAAACGAGTTGGGATGAGGTCAAAGACAATAGCGGCACTTAGAAAGAAAGTTTCCAAAAAACGCCACTCCACATCTGATGAATCAAGTGGTGCCGATTCTGACGCTGAGAAGAGACGTGTTGTTTCCAGGCGAGCCGCTGCCGATATTAGTTATAAGGAAGATAGTGAAGAAAAAACTGATTCTGAAGATTTACTAGAAGTAGATCAAACTGAATCAACTGAGCCTGTGATAGAAGAAAAGTGTGAAACCATTGAACGAGTTTTAGCCCAAAGACGCGGTAGGAAAGGAGGTATTGTTGAGGGTTTCACACTCTGTTAAATAAACCCAACTTTGCTTAATATTTTCTTCTTTTAGTAACTGGAAATATTACTACGCTTTACTATGTTGAAGAACATGGCGATCCCAATCAAGGTGTCGATCCTAATGATTTAGATAATGCAGAAGACCAGTACCTGATTAAATGGAAAGACTGGGCTCATATTCATAACACATGGGAATCGGATCAGTCCCTCAGGGAACAGAAAGTTAAAGGACTCAAAAAACTGGAAAATTACATCAAGAAAGAAGTGGACATACAGCAGTGGATAAAATATTCCACGCCAGAAGATGTAGAGTATTATGAGTGCCAACTGGAATTGGGCCAAGAATTGTTGAAGAGTTACAATAGAGTCGAACGTATAATAGGTAGAATATGCCGCATTATTTAACTAGATTTATTTCATTGTTTAGCAATAAAACAATATTTCAGCCAAATATAATAAACCTGACGAGGGTGTTGACTATTATGTCAAATGGGAAAGTTTACCATACTCAGAATCCACTTGGGAAGATTCCGCCTTAATTCAACAGAAATGGCCGGATAAAATTGAAGAGTTTCAGGAAAGAGAGCAGTCATCCAAGACGCCAACAAAACATTGCAAGGTTTTAAAATATAGGCCAAAGTTTCACGAAGTTAAGACGCAACCTGAGTATATGACTGGTAAAGAGCAAGTGAGTTTTTTAGCATGTAAATAAAAAATGTAATAATTCATTTGATATTTTTAGACTCTCGTTTTACGAGATTATCAGATACATGGGCTAAATTGGATGATCCATTCTTGGACGAAGGAGAACTCTGTTATCCTGGCTGATGAAATGGGTCTGGGTAAAACAATTCAGGTAATAGGCACTTGTAGGTAAATATAAAATAAATTTTTTAGATTTTTAATGGCTACTATTTTTTGTTCAGACAATATGCTTTCTCTACTACCTCTTCAATACCCACCATTTACATGGACCTTTCTTATGTGTGGTGCCACTGTCAACGATGACATCTTGGCAGCGAGAATTCTTCCAATGGGCCCCAGATATGAATGTTGTTACCTATCTGGGAGATGTCCAGTCACGAGATATAGTAAGTTATTCACTGTTTGTTGTATACATTTTGTTGCATTGCAAACTTTAGATTCGTCAACATGAATGGTGCTATGAGGGTTCAAAAAGATTGAAGTTTAATGCTATACTAACTACTTATGAAATTGTGCTTAAGGACAAAACATTTCTTGGTAGTTTAAGCTGGGCAGTCTTATTAGTTGACGAAGCTCACAGGTAACATTTTTCTGCATTTAGTTATTTCATATAAGCTATGGGTAAAATTTTTAGGCTTAAAAATGACGATTCACTGTTGTATAAAGCATTGATGGACTTCGATACTAACCACAGGTTACTTATTACAGGGACTCCCTTGCAAAATAGCTTGAAAGAGTTATGGGCTCTGTTGCATTTCATTATGCCCAACAAGTAAGTTTTTGTTGGATTTCTTTTATCAATGCTGATAAAGCGCTTTATTAGATTTCAAACTTGGGAAGAATTTGAAAAGGATCATGAGCATGCCTCTACCAGGGGATACAGTAAATTGCACAAACAATTAGAACCTTTTATTTTAAGGCGCGTAAAAAAAGATGTGGAAAAATCTTTGCCCGCAAAAGTTGAACAGATATTAAGGGTTGAGATGACATCTATTCAAAAGCAATATTACAAATGGATTTTAACAAAAAATTACAATGCCTTACGAAAAGGAGTGAAAGGATCGACCAATACATTTCTGAACATTGTCATTGAATTAAAAAAGTGCTGCAACCACGCATTTCTAACTAAACCTGTGGAACCAGAGACTCAATATAGACAACAAGATCAGCTACAAGCCTTGTTACGAGGATCAGGCAAATTAGTTCTACTGGATAAGCTGCTAATCAGATTGAGGGAAACTGGTCACAGAGTCTTAATATTTTCTCAAATGGTGAGAATGTTAGATATATTAGCAGAATATCTTCAGTTGCGGCACTTCCCCTTCCAAAGACTGGATGGTGGTATTAAAGGTGAACTTAGGAGACAAGCATTAGACCATTTTAACGCAGAAGGTTCTCAGGACTTTTGTTTTTTGCTCTCAACAAGAGCTGGCGGTTTAGGTATTAATTTAGCAACTGCAGACACTGTTATTATTTTTGATTCTGATTGGAATCCTCAAAATGATCTTCAAGCCCAAGCCCGTGCTCATAGAATAGGTCAAAAGAATCAGGTCAACATCTACCGTCTGGTTACTGCTCGTTCTGTTGAAGAAGAAATTGTAGAACGTGCCAAACAGAAAATGGTGTTGGACCATTTAGTGATACAGAGAATGGATACAACGGGAAGGACTGTTTTAGATAAAAAGGGTTCCTCCAATAACAATCCTTTCAATAAAGAAGATCTCACTGCTATTCTTAAGTTTGGAGCAGAAGAATTATTTAAAGATGAAGATGTGGATGAAGAACCCAATGTATGTTAATTAATTGTATTTCAGGTAGTAGATGCTATAATGGCAATGAATTTTTAGTGTGACATTGATGAAATTCTTCGCCGAGCAGAAACAAGGGACGAAGTGCCAACTATGGCTGGGGATGAATTGTTATCTGCTTTTAAAGTAGCCAGTTTCGCAGCATTTGATGAAGAGACTGACCCATCTCCAGAGAACACGACAGCGCCAGAAAACGATGAAGAGAGTAAAGACTGGGACGAAATCATACCAGAAAAACTCAGAAAGAAGGTTGAAGAAGAAGAAAAATCGAAAGAAATGGAAGATCTGTATCTACCCCCGCGAAGTCGAAAGACTTTGCAGCAAATTAATCAGTCAGAGAGTGATGGTGAAGAAGGCAAAGGTAAAAAGAAAAAGAAGAAAGAAGGCGAAGAATCTGGAGAATCTAGTATTGAAGGTGAGGAGTCGGATGAAGATCGGCCTAAGCGGCGAGGGCGTCCACCAGCCAGCAATAGGGAAAAAATAGGCAACTTTACAGATGTAGAGGTAGGTGCTGTCTTTGTTAAATTTATATATGCTAAACATATTGTGTACTAATATTTAAGATTCGAAGATTTGTCAAAAGCTACAAAAAATTTAGTGCTCCACTTAAACGATTAGAAGCTGTCGCCTGTGATGCCGAACTTCAGGAAAAGCCCTTGGTAGACTTAAGAAACCTTGGGGAGTTGCTTCACAAAAGATGTGTTGAATATATGAATGAGCAGGCTAAAGAAAACAATGAAAGCAATAATCAAGAGGAATCAAAAGGTCGTAAGAGATTAAGGGGACCATCATTCAAATTAGGAGGTGTATCTGTAAATGCTAAAACAATGTTACAGTGTGAAGAAGAGTTAGCTCCGCTAGATGAAATTTTACCGTCAAACGAAGAGGAAAGGAGTAAATGGATTTTTGATACCAAAACAAAGCCTGCACATTTTGATGTGGATTGGAGCTCATTGGAAGATTCCAAGCTGCTTAGAGGCATTTATGTCTATGGAATGGGTTCTTGGGAGCAAATTAAACTGGACCCAAATTTAGGCATTGGTGACAAAATATTACTTAATGAAGATAAGAAACCTCAGGCTAAACACCTACAATCTCGGGCTGAATACTTGTTGAAAATACTGAAGAAACAGCTTGATCCCAAAAAGGGGCTTCCTAAACCAAAGAAAACACGCAAACCAAAGGAAGTCAAGGAATCAAAAATTTTGACTAAAGAAATCATAGAAAATGACAATTTTAGCTCAAATGACGAATCTAATATTTCAGCTAGTCAATCGACCATAAACAGTAGTGGTAGCAAAAGGTCAAAAAACATGTTGAAAAGTGACTTCAACAATGAAGAAAGCGGTAAACCAGAAAAAAAAGAAAAGAAAAAGGATAAGAAAAAGGACAAAAAATCTGCTGGTCCCATGCATTTTACTGCTAACAATGAGCCTAGGGCATTGGGTGTACTGGGCGATTTGGAACCAGCAATATTTGATGAATGTAAGGAGAAAATGAGACCCGTAAAAAAGGCATTAAAAGCTTTAGATAATCCAGATCAATCATTGTCTGAATTGGAACAAGTTCAACACACTAGAGATTGCCTTTTACAGATCGGAGAACAAATTAACACTTGCTTGAACCAATATTCCGATCCGGAACAAATAAAAGAATGGAGAAGGTGAATTTACTCTTCCCAATTTTTTAAATACTTTCTAAAGGATTTTTTTTAGCAATTTGTGGTACTTCGTGTCAAAATTCACTGAGTATGACTCCAAGAAATTATATAAACTATATAAGAAAGCCTGTAAACAATCTAAAAGGGGTGAGAAAAGCGATAAAGCCGAACGGGCTGAAAAAAAAGGGAGAGAAGTGAGTAAAATTTACTCGGACTAGGTTTTGAAGAGATGAAAAATTTATTTTTTGTTTTTAGGATAATGCGTCAACCAGTAAGGAGCATTACAAAATCAGGAATGATAAGGAAGAGCATCTCAAAAGGAAACACGAAGGTGATGGAGACGACGACAAGGAGTCGAAAAAGCTTCTGAGCTTGGAAAAGTGAGGATTTTACAGTGAGTTTGTTTTAAGTGCTATTGGACAAATCATTTTTAGGAAAGAAAGACGCGATAAGTACGACAAGGAACGAAAGAGGATGCGAGATGATGTTAGTACCGAAGAAGAAGGGGAATACCGTTACAGTCGTCATAGGAAAGCTCCAAAACCTCAAGCCGGTTTTCGTCATGGACCACATATGCACGCTGAACATGACAGGTGGATGGCTGGTCCTCCCAGAGAGAGGTTCGCTAGTGATCACAAAAGGTTATATGATTACCCAAGAGGACCTAGCTATCATAGGGAGAGGGACTATCCCCGACCTGACAAAAGGTCGGTGGCGTCAGTATGGCTATTTTTTTACAAATCTTATGTATTTATTTCTACCAGGTCCCCGGAAGGAAAGACTGAATGGCGCCAATATCCTAGGGGGAGGGAAATGATGCACCCTCAAATGGCCCCAAGAGCCCTATTTTACGGGGGTAATTATCCCGGTGGAATCCCTCCTATGTATGCACCTGATAATAGTCGATTTTCACCCGGTGAATGGCGACCACCTGATAGGGACTACTATCGTGGCCGCCAGCAGTAATTTACATGTGGAACGTTATTTTGTAAAGTAAATATATGTATAAAATGAGATATATTTTATGTTCAAGACAAAGATATACTGCACATGGATCTCAATAAGGGTAAGAGTTAAGTAAGGAGTGTCTGACCTTAAAAGAGTTATACTTGAATCTTTTTATTATTATTATTATCACTTCAATCCAAGTTGACTTCAGAAAGGAAAAGGCGGAAATCTCAGATTATAATTTCACCGCCTAACTACTTACCCTTAACCAGATGCTTATGTTGTGCATTTTTTTTTCTTGGTCACGCTGTTTGTTGTCTTGGAGGGTTATGGAGAACAGTTTAACTGAATCAATTGTAAATAGAGGATTATATTCTCGGTAACTTTCCATAACATTTTTGCATTTTGTTTCAATCATGTCTTGTTTTTATTTTTCAAAAACTTCAGTCGGATGCAGCAAAGGCCTGGACATAAATATTGTAAAATACCTCTTGATCTGTATATACAGATTAATAAAAAAAAATATGTTTTGATAATTCTGTAGTTTTATTTAAATAAAAAAAATTCACTGAGAAAATTTCTGCATATTTTTAATTTGTTCCTTAAAAATTTTGAAATGGTGTAAACAGTATGAATTAACTGTTCAATAAAGTGGAGACCGGTTTCCTACACTAAAATGTACAGGGTGTCAAAATTATTTTTGAGTGTTCAGCAGATATAAAAAGTTTATATAAACGTATGTCCTAAAATGCTTCATTTCGTTCATGAGACCAAAAAAAATAGTAGGCAATTTTGGTAATAGGTTTGGATACCATGATCAGTTTAAACAAAAAATGGCCTCTTCAGGTTTTTCGCTAAAACGAATCCTTTTCCAGAAAAAAAAAATTGTTTGCTATTATACAAATATCTAAAGTTTACAAATTACATTACGATATTATTTAAATAATTCCAAAAATTATAATAATTTTATTAATTTACTTATAATTATCATAACTAACAAACCTTGAAAGCAAAATCTAGGTATTTTTAAAAAATAGGAAAAAACTATTTTTTCACAATATTTCAACACCCGGAAGCATTTTAGAACAAGTTTATATGAACTTTTTATCTGCTGAATGCGCTGTTAAAGTTTCTGCATTATAATTCGGACTATGATAAACATTTTAATTTTGTTTTTTATTGTAATATAGAGTTTTAGAAGAACGCCTTCATTTCGTTGCCTATTCAAAATAACCTATCCGAGAAAGTAATTCAAATACAAAGAATTCTAATTTTCAAATTGCACATAATTTTGTGACGTCATCGTTTTATCTATGAGTTGTTTTTTCCAATTAAAAATTAACACCTTTAGATAATAAACATCTAAACTTTGTGCGGATCAAACTCCATAATAAATTTTGCGTTTTATTGTTTTCTATTCCCATTCAGAGAACATGCCGCTTTACCAAAATTTTTGTCCTGGTTTTTTTATATGCAGTCTAATTTACTATTCTGTGATGGTAATCATTTAATTGTGGCAACCAATAGCAAAATTGTCGCAACTTTGCGTAAACAAATTATTGGTCTGACAATTTTTGCTGTTTATTTTGATCGTGCACTGGGAAATAATTGTTTTAGTTTATTTACCGTTTACCGGTGTCAACGTCTACGCTATGTGTAAGTTTATAGTACAGTTTGAATATATGTTTATTAGATTGCACCTGTGTGACTGCAGAATGGACTAAAGTGAGGTGTTTGCGATATATTCAATTTTACAACCATGTCCGCTAATAGTGGATCAAGCAATACAAACTCGCAAGAAATTCAAACGCCTGCCACACCTTCAGGGAAGTCCAGTACTTCAGGATTATCAAAAGTCGAAGACAAGAAATCAAGGGTTCTGTTAAACATATTGCCAAAATTGCCATCAAATGATTCCCTGAACAATAGTTCTGGCCCAGCAAGCCCTGGTAAGTCCGAACCCATTACTTGAGAAAGGTAACATTTCCCTGATAATTTTCAGGACTTCCACATGAAAAATTTGATAGTACCGCCCTCACAAATACTGAAGGGGTAGGTTTATATTTTCTAAGTGCTGTGTGTGTATAACACTGTATGTATAAAATATTTCTTTGTTTTTTTATAGCTTCATTCCCCTGAATCATGTACAAAATTAATGAGGAAAGAATCATACAAAGCTCAAAGAAAGAATTATCGTAAAGAGAAAAAACGAGTTACCAATGAACTTTTAAATTCTCTAAAAGATCCTTCAGTAATTGTATTAGCTGATTGGTTAAAAATAAGAGGCACTCTGAAGTCCTGGACTAAATTGTGGTGTGTTTTAAAACCCGGCCTATTGGTATTATATAAAAGTCCAAAAGGCAAGGTAAATATAAATTATTTTGCATGTTTATTGTGTTTTAACAAATGTAAAATACTCCAATATGTGTATTTAAATTTTAATGATACTTATTGTTTGACAATTATTGGTTTATTCAAGGGCAAAGTTTATCGCCTATTAAAAGCGATATGGTTCAAAAATACAGTATGTCCACTTTAAGGTCATGATAGATGGAAGAGTCAAAAGCTAGTGTTTCCATGAAATTTGAAAAATAGTTTTAATTTTTTCTGATCTTATTTAAAAACAAATTTTACCTAAGATTTTTTATTTATAATTTGGCCCAAGTATTTTTTACCATGTTTGGCATTATTTGCAGCTGCAATCATAAAAAGGAAAAATGTCTAAAATAATTTAAAGTTGACGCTGATCACTAAGAAACGGAACGGGGAAATAAGGCGGGAAAACTGGAAATGTCCATAAACAATTTGATTAGAAAAATTTGAAATATTTTTTTTAATTCTTTTTTTTTCTCTTATTTTACCTCTTATACATAATGAGATTCCCATGCTGTGCATTGCTGTCTTGGGCAAACTGTATAATGTATATTTTTGTTCCCAATAAATTTAAATTGTTTTATGTGGTGATGCCTACCATATAGATTAGTCTGTTGATTTGTCTATAAAAAAATGGACAAATATTTGGTTAAAGATTAAGTTGCTATGGGGACTTTTTAAAATCACAACTGGTCTCCAAAAATAATTAAATATTTATAAATGATTTCGCATGTATCCTATGAATATGCTCAGTCCATTTTGAGAAAGACCTGGATTTGCTTAAATATCTCCTTGAATTATTCAGAGCTAGTTTGGCATGGAATTATATTTCTGCCATCTACTCAGCAACTCATATACCAAAAAAGGACAGGAAAGTCCAGACCCAAATTAGGATAAGGGGAGGGTTAGCGTGGATGACCCCATATCTATTTCTTAATGGGAGGGAGTAAGTAGTATTCTGTTTAATGATCTCCCTCATTGCAAATTTACATTTTATTGTTCTCTCGCATTAAAAAACGAAATATAGCATTAAATAACCTGTTGGAAAGATTAAACCGATCTGGCGAAACCTAGAGGGGTTAGGGTATCAAACCCATTATCACCAGGTGGTCAAAAAAGACCAATCGGGATGAGTCAGTTTAAAGTTTAAAGGTCAACAATATCTTGTTCAAAACCAAGAAAAAATGAAAAAAGATTTCTATAAAAAATTATTGGAAGTTTCTACAATTTGTTAATTGGTATATATATATATATATATATATATATATATATATATATATATATATATATATATATATATATATATATATATATATATATATATATATATATATATACCAATTAACAAATTGTAGAAACTTCCAATAATTTTTTATAGAAATCTTTTTTCATTTTTTCTTGGTTTTGAACAAGATATTGTTGACCTTTAAACTTTAAACTGACTCATCCCGATTGGTCTTTTTTGACCACCTGGTGATAATGGGTTTGATACCCTAACCCCTCTAGGTTTCGCCAGATCGGTTTAATCTTTCCAACAGGTTATTTAATGCTATATTTCGTTTTTTAATGCGAGAGAACAATAAAATGTAAATTTGCAATGAGGGAGATCATTAAACAGAATACTACTTACTCCCTCCCATTAAGAAATAGATATGGGGTCATCCACGCTAACCCTCCCCTTATCCTAATTTGGGTCTGGACTTTCCTGTCCTTTTTTGGTATATGAGTTGCTGAGTAGATGGCAGAAATATAATTCCATGCCAAACTAGCTCTGAATAATTCAAGGAGATATTTAAGCAAATCCAGGTCTTTCTCAAAATGGACTGAGCATATTCATAGGATACATGCGAAATCATTTTTTTATTTGTGGTAGGTGCTTTATTGTGTCACCTTGTATAACATATTTATTAATTTTGATATTGTAATTACTATAAGATTTAAAAATATGTTTTTGCCTAATTAAACTGATTTTATTGTATATTATAGAGCAGTCACTGGGTTGGTACAATTCTTTTAAATTCCTGTAAAGTAATTGAAAGGCCCAGCAAAAAGGATGGATTTTGTTTCAAATTATACAATCCGTTAGATCAAACAATTTGGGCTCCAAGAGGTCCCGAAAATGAAACAATAGGTAATCTTAGAATCTAAACTACTTTATGAGATTGAGATGGCCTAATCATAGGGGCTGTTGTACAACCGCTACCCAGTTCATATTTAATATTTCGAGCTCCTAGTCAGGGTTCTGGAATGTGTTGGCTTGATGCGCTAGAAATTTCTATAAGAAATGATGGGGCATTAGTTAGGTCTGTCAGTAATAAATCAGCGTCGGGTAGTGCAAACCATGAGACTCAATGGTCGGAAACTGACTATGAGAAGCATTTTGTCCATGGTAAACTAAGGTCAGTTAAAAAAAAGCTTTCATTAATGTTATCATCAGATTTAGATAATATTAGCCAGCCAGATAACGGGGGCCAATTGAGTGCTGGTGAAGTCGACATTACGGACTCAGACTCAGAAGTTTCTGCCAAGGAAGAAGAAGTTGATGTTGATCCACCAGAGACTCCATATGTTCCTAATGTTGAAGAAGAATTTGGCGACGTAGGAGCTCAAGTGGAAGAACTGGCTGAAGAGCACAAATCCCTCATTTGGTATCTTGTGAAGCAGGTGCGTCCAGGAATGGATCTTAGCAAGGTTGTTCTGCCTACGTTTATATTGGAGCCGAGATCTTTCCTTGACAAACTGTCGGATTCTTATTACCATGTCGACATTCTATCACAGTAAGCTCAAATATAAGAAATTATAGGACAATCTATAATTTGAATTTGTTTATAGAGCAGTTCTTGAGGATGATGCCTTTACTAGAATGAAACTTGTTGTTAGATGGTATCTTTCCGGTTTGTACAAAAAGCCCAAAGGCTTAAAGAAACCATACAATCCTATTCTTGGGGAAACCTTTAGATGCTATTGGATGCATTCAAACAACTCTAAAACATTCTACATCGCCGAACAAGTTTCTCATCACCCACCGGTACTACTGGGTCAAACTTTTTTTTTTTTTTTCATCACCAAATACCTTTACAGGTATCAGCTTTTTATGTTACCAATCGACAAGATGGGTTTGCAATCAGTGCCAGCATATTAGCCAGGTCTAAGTTTTATGGTAATTCTACATCCGCTTTACTCGATGGTACTGCGGTTTTAACCCTATTGCCACGGGGGGAGGATTATAAGTTAACTGTGCCCTATGCGCACTGTAAGGGAATTTTAATGGGCACATTGACCATGGAACTTGGTGGGAAAGTGACAATAGCATGTGAAAAAACAGGGTATTCAACTGAAATCGAATTTAAATTGAAGGTGAGTGAACATACGCGCTCTGCGAAACTTAAAAAAAAATGATTTCTTGGTATCTATTTGCAGCCATTCCTCGGAGGTGCCGAGCAGACAAATTGTATAACGGGTAAATTAAAGCTAGGCAAGGAAACACTCGCAACCATCGACGGGTACTGGGACGGAACAATCTACATAAAAGACAAAAGAACAGGAGAACAACAGGTCCTGTTCGCATCAACTCAGTCCATACGGAAGCAAAGGTTAACTAGGTATTTGGTACCTCTGGATAACCAAGCAGAAAATGAATCCGAAAAACTATGGCAGCACGTATCGGCTGCCATTTTGCGGGACGATATGGCCGCTGCGACGGAAGAAAAGACATCGCTCGAAGAAGCTCAAAGAGGTCTGTTTATATTTCCGTCAATTCATCTATTGTCATTTTATTATTATCCTAATTTATATGTGTTTTAATTAGCATTTGTATTTGTTTTACTTAGCAAGGTCAAAAGAAAGGAAAGTGAAATGTGAAGAATGGACGCCGGTCCATTTTCAACAAGATCTAAAAACTGGGCAGTGGGTGTACAAACACTCTGATCTGAGACCCTGGGACCCTAGAAATGATTTGTACCAGTACGAGTATAATTATCAAATTCTTACGCGCACCAAGCATCCCACGCCGATGATCAGAACTGCCAGCATCATTAGCGTGGATCCCCAACAGGTATTGCAATACTTTAAACAGATTAAAATTTTTATTGGATGTTTATTGTACTACTTAAAATCGTCTTGTCCGTTTTGTCTATTGCCTTGACCCATTAGCGTCATCAAAATGTACCCCTGGTTTTCAGTAATAGGATGTATTCTAGATGGAGATGAACTAGTTTGGTGAGCTGTGGCCTCGTTTAACCTCAAGATATTTTTGTACCTAGAATTGTTTTTGATCACTCTCCTGCAGAATTTATAACCGTTCTGGCATTTATTTTCAGGTCGAATCTCGGGCAACATCCAAAGCAAGCAGAAAAAAATTGGCAACGAAACAGGTATCATCCGACGTTGATTTAATTGACAGCGGAACATCGTCAGAGGAATTTCACTCTGACTCGAGTCATTCAGCGAAAAAAACAAAAAATTCTTTGACCACCACAAATTCGAGGTGAGTGATATTTACTAAATATCGGCCCTTCAGGTACAGTGGTAAAGGTATCAAAGTGCCGTTTCCTAATAACCATGTAACGCCTCTGCTCATTGTTGTGGTATGTGTGAAGGTTGCATGCGAGTTAATTATGCCTCCTTGATCTGACTGGCAACCTGTAAGCCTATTCTTCTGGATTTTATAAGAAGAAAACGTTTTTGGTTGAAAACGTTGCCAGACTGATGGAAGGTTCTTGTTTATTATTATTAAATATGTTATAATATTCCTATACGATGCTCGACTTACATATGCGATTTTAATTATGTAAAAGCATGTCCAAATTTTACCCATCTTTGTAATCGGATAGGCAGATCAGAATTGTGTGAGACTCGCAATTGAACGGTAAACATAACATTTTGTATTTATTCAAGTTTTAGGTGGAAATATTGATGAAAGGATTTTTAGACTTTGTATTTAACCCAAATAATTTTATTATTAACCCACAAACTTATTAGCATGAACGTTTTCAATTTTTAGTCGTCAGATTTTTGGATTTTAACATATTAGTAAATTTTCCATTTACAAAGTTTTTTTATGTACTACATATTTATGTATGTACATACGCGTTGTACACAGCGTAGTGGAAAATCTACTATCTTGTAGTTGCCAACGAACCCCCCTGGGATGTAAACTGTAAACAATTTCATGTCATTAAAAATCGTTTGTGGGTTGTTAAACTGGAGGCGTGTTCTGCGGGTGGGTGTGTCATGTTAAATCTTTTTGCAGTATAATGTTGGCAATCCATGATTTGGAACAAAGTTTCAAGGAGCTGGACGGGAAAATCAATCAGGTCCAGGTAAATGTAAATCATTTAATCAGCCTGAATAAAAAAACCAATGAGATTAATAATAGTAGATTGTCATTGTTAACGGTATTGTTCGCCATGTTCGGGTTTTTGGAAGCCATTATATTTTATATATTCAAGAAGTGAATTTTCCTTCTGCAATTTTTTGTGATACGCTATGATTTTGTGCTTTTGAAGCTTTCGTTTTAATTATATATATTGATTGTCTATTGAATAATTTATTTTTTGAAACTTGCCGAGTGCGTCATTTTTAAACTTGCCATTTTTATTATGTATTTGTATAGCGGCATTTATTTATATTTCCGGTTATTTAACTCGCGGCGTTGTAGTTATGAAATTTATCGAATTCTTAATACGTTTTAACAAAATTAGTACATCCGAATTTGAGTCGTCTGAACCAAAAACGGGAAGAATTTCAAGTATAATTCAACTTCCGGTTTTTGTGAATTGATCAGGTTACAACGTTTGCGACATTTAAAATTAATATATTATATGCTTTTTGAAGAGTTGTTCCGGTGATTTTGTGATAAGTTATTGATAACATGTATTATCTGTAGCTTAGTATAAATCAAAGTTAACTCCCTACCTCCTACAAAATATTGTTGGGACGATTGTTTCGCCGAATAAACCGAATTTTTCGGATACCATTTTATGGTGGTAACAATCTTTAAGGTTTAAATTACATTAAGGTATAGTGCTTATATACTTTGTATAGGCATGATATTAGTTCGAAAATCGAATGGAATTGTAGGAACTCTATAATCTGGCAACATGTCCGACATGCATTTTAAATCTTGAATATTACTTACAACCTTTTTCTACAGTCTAATAGAGAAAACACAAATTTCTAGTCTTACAAATATGAAACTAATTCTCTCTCACACAAATATTTTTTATTCCCCACGGTTATATTATTATACGTTGATTTTACTATACAATTATGCCTTAAATAAATGTGTTTTATTCATTTATGTGTATTTTGCAATTTTAGACCTCACACATTCCCGTATTGTAATCCGTTCCGGTTGATTCGTATTTCTCAAACCCTTCTCAAATTAGCTGCGTGACTCGCGTTGAAGGAATTTTTCGATATTTCTATCAAGAAATAATATCTATCCAAATAAACTAACAAATTCCGTTTTTTAAATGTGATCATTAGAAAGAGGAAACATATTTTGGGTATAGGTTAGAGTGAATTGATAATCGACTGGTTTGTTAAATATTTAATTCCATTTTATCTATTTGTAAATAATATTAGGCTTAATTACTTTATTAAATCATTCAGATACAGATACCCTATGTACAATAAAACAACCTAAACAAAATATTTGACTATATAAAATAATAAGTGAGTAATTATAAGTAGGTAATCTCGTAAAACCTTTAGTTCATATAAATATCAACTAGAATGTTTAAGCTTCATCTCCGTTTATTCGGTTTGTCTCAATCTTTTTCCTCGCCTTGGCTAAAATCGCTTTTAGCTCAGTTGTCCTTACCGTTTGGAACTACAAGCCGAATTCATAAAAATACTAAGCAAGCAAATCTTTCCTTTAACTTACCCCACTAACAGATTTCTGAACTAAGAGCTGGGAATAGAGCCTATGTCCTTCTTTAGCACCACATATCTTTTCCAATTCAAATTTCTGCATATCGAATAGATGATACCCCGATAGACCCTTAAATTTGGCACAAATGTTTTCATCGAACTCTTTGGCCTTTAACCATTCTTGAACATCTTTGGAACTTGACTTTTGATTTATATACATTTCCGGAGTCGATTTAATATCCAGCACGGCTCTTTGTTTTTCCCTATCCCTTACTAGAGTTAACACGCTAGCCAATTCCTCCTGCATTTTATCACCCATTGATAAGGTTGATACTATAGATTGCCTGGACTGGGTTCTCTTTAAAGCGGGTGATTCTTCCAAGGGTTTTGGGGCTTCTAGAGGTATTGGTGGTGGTGCGGGAACTGATGGCGGAGGGGGTGGGGGAGGTGGTAATGCAGTGACTTTAATGGTTTTTTCCAAAACTGCAAAAATGCGGCGAAGTAATTTGGATCGCATATTTTTAAATGTTTTTCCAAAGCGACGAACACATGCGAGACAAAAACACAAGCTACACAGCAGGACTTTAATACAATATCGTAAAAAAAAAACATTACATTCGCTGTTAGTAATCAAACGATATATAAAAATATATATCTTATATACATATACATAACTTTGAAATAATATATTAATTCATAGAATATAGTTATTTTTGTTGTTTTCTTTATATAAAAATTTTATTCAATGTCCTATCCTCACCAAATAAATAAACACACCCGAATCGGAAATTAAACAAAAGGTACGATTGCGAAAGGTTGTTCATTCATTTGATGAACTTAGGAGCATTATAATATATACTATTCGCGCATACATGTGCAATATTCAGAAGAGATTCTATCCATTATACAATAAAAATTAGACTACAGTCAATTCATAAATTTTAGTAATCAAGGTAAATTTTAAGTCTTTAACATCAAACAGTTTTCGGTACACCACACGTAGATCAAACATGGAATAGACAAAATTACACAATAAGCATAGATTGTCTAAATTTAGAAATAACGGAATTCTCCTTTCTTACCGATCCTTTCATTTCTAATCATTTCAGCGGAGTTTTTCAAGGGTGGCCTATGGTCATCGCTGCTGCTTTGGCCAGCGTTATATCGACTAATCGGGGGTGAATCCTATTGAGAAAATTGTTTGGGTCAACGTAGGTTGAATTACACAGAACGAAGGATACCCAGAGTGCAAGTAGCAAAATAGTATATTTGCAAATGCAGAGGCGTGTGTAAAAAGAAAATGAGTGCATATTCAAAGACCTTTTACCCTTAACAACTTACATCCTTATCTGTAATTCTGCTACCATACTGTTGAGTATATAGCGGATTCATGGTAATGCTTACCATAGGCCCACTTGAATGATACTGTGTGACAATAGTATTGGGTACGTGAGCAATTTGTCCCTTGCTGTTTCTGGCTTTCCACCACTTCCGGCTGCTATCTAATATCTGAAACAAAACTCTTAATTCAGAAATACTTCGTGTTTCCCAAGATGTACCTCTAGAAACTCTCCTCTAACTACAGTCAACTCCTTGTCGTTGTTTGCCGTTCGTGGGTAAGTAACTTGGACGATGTGGGCTCCACGACTCTGCAAGTCCTCCAAAAACCTCTCCTGTCCACTCCCGAAGCCTCTTTCTTCACCCCCGTTTCTTTCTATCGAATCGGCTGAAATGTCACTTCTAGCGGTGCTCTCGCCTACTGGCGGCATTATGTCTCTATCAGAGTCGTCATCTTTATAGTGCTCTTCAGCTGGATATGGTTTATTTTCCGAATCAGGTTCATCCACTGGATACTCGGGAGACCATCCGTCCATGAAAACTGGATGATAAGCAGGCACGTGACCCCTGTACTGATCTCGAGGAATTAGCCAAGCGCTACCCAGAGAATGCCACAATTCTGTTTCTTTGCTTGTGACGCAATTCATTAACAAGTTTATCGCCTCCCTCGTAAGAACTGGGGATATAACGTTGTGCGGAATCTGCTGATCAAAGTAATGATCGTGGGAAGCTTCAACTATCAAAGCCAAAGGAGTGAAGAGAAAATGTACCAATTCGGGTGCGTTAGGGTCATGAATATGTGCTTTCAATTTAGCTAGAAGATTAAAAGACAACTTGAACTTCTGAAATATATCGACAAACTCTTTCTCAGGAGGCGGTCTAGATCTCATCGTTAGCATTCCATCTCCCATATCTCGTTTTTTATTCCTCCTAGTTTTTCGTCTTCTTTCCAGCTCCCGAACAGCTGCCGCTGCATGTTGGAGCCTAGCTATAAATTTCTCGATGTCATCGAAACAATGATTTAAAATGGTGACGTCCCTTTCGTATTTTTCACTCGTCGTGGAACTGGAATCGTCATTGTTTTCCGTCAATTCTGAATCTGACCGAATCATATAGTCTCTTGAATGGTCTCTAGCGGGGTTTATCACGTTCTGGGGTGGTTTGTGCGACGGGGGAGGGATGCTACTCTTGCGGCTTCGCGTTAAAGCTTTTCCGATCCTTAATTGTTTTAAATCCTCCGCTAGGTCTTGTGCTGATATACTTTGACACTGAGAATGGAAAGAAATTTAATAGACACTTTTAAATATATATATATATATATATATATATATATATATATATATATATATATATATATATATATATATATATATATATATATATATATATATATATATATATATATATATATATATATATATATATATATATATATATATATATATATATATATATATATATATATATATAATGTTGTAGTTTTTGATGATCTCAGGTGCGAGTATCTCAATAAAAATTGATAAATGTGATAAAAATAGAAATGAGTCATGTATTGCGAGGCTGCAAAGTAAAATCTGAATAAATCCCATGTAAAACGACAATTTATAGTTAAAACAAATATCAAATTTACTACCGACTACAAGTTAGACATAAAGGTTTTGACGTACCACGTTAAATTCGAAAATAAGGTTTCTTTGATTATGCCAAGAGTCGCGTAAAAACGAAAAATTTCGCACCTTAACACATGAATATGTTGTTACCACGGCGGTTTATTTTGATATAAAGTTAATTTTTATTTTATCGTTTTTTTTTCGGCAAAATTGAAGTGCCTAGAAAATTTTTATCAGTCCTAATTTATTATCGCAATTATTGTAAAATAACTGTTGAGATTGTCGAATTGTGATGTAGTCGAGGGTCGTTTAACGGGAACCAATTTAAACATTAAAAAAAAGACACAGAACGAAGTCGAAAAATAGGAAAACCGCGAAATTGTAAATTGTTACAGACGGTTAGGCTTTTCGTTCCGGATCTTATGACCTTGAAACAGACTTGATTTATGTTGCTTTAAGGTGTTATAAATTTTGCACCTGCGATTTGTGTTACAACGGGAAATTCTAATATTGTTTGGAAGAATCACGAAATGCCAGTAAAAAATTAAACAAAGGTGCGAATTTTATATCGCATTGCGTCTGAAATTTAAACGTAGAATGTACTGGCAACAGATTTATTTATAAATATTGGCCCCGTTTCTTTAACGCAGGTGTTTCGTAATTCCAGATCCTGCAAGCGTGTGAAGAATGCCTATTAACATTTTACTCATTGCAAATGCTTCCGTTTAGTTAAATATCTATACCCACGGATTTAAAAGATTAGAATAATTCAAATTTGCACGATAGATTTGAAAACATTTTTTTTTTCTATAAAGAAGTTCAAATAACTTAACGAGGAAAATTTCTGGTTATATATATATATATATATATATATATATATATATATATATATATATATATATATATATATATATATATATATATATATATATGTATATATATAATTAAAAATGATTGAAAAATCAAATCCTATCATGGTATAAAGACATTTTCTTGAATATTTCATGAAATTCAACCGACTTACCTGAAAAATGTGCATTTGCATTTCGGGAGAGTGTGGCGATTGACTCGAATCCGCTATAATGAAGACTAAGATGTTATTGTACATATCCATCGGATCTTGACTCATGAAAGCTGTCGGATCTTGAATAGCATTTGCGGGAAATCTTTCGACAACACTCTGAAAAGAAAATCCCATATGCAAAAGACGCGCATTGACACAATTATTTTTTTTGCATTGTAATAGATCAAAAAAGTCTGTAAAGTGTTTCTCATCTAACCATTTTTTTTGAAAAATGAGGTTCAAATAGATAGACCACAACGTTGAATACTGCAAGCTGAAGGATAGAGTATCCATTTAATTAATTTTTGATGAGGTACGTGATTAAATTATATTAAAAAATTAAATTTTGCGGACTAATGAGGATTAATTTTCGGGAAAAACTAATGCAGTTTAAAAAATAAATAGAGTCATGAACAATTTTTGTCCATTCTTTCGTGTCCAATAATATTTTCAAATCAAACATGATGAAATGGGGAAATCTCATTAGTTATTATAAGTTTCGTAGTTTTGGTTAGTTTCTGGTTATTTTCGTGAATTATAACGCCGACTGTTAACTTTTGACTAATTAAAGCAATCTGGTAAAAAGAAATTGCAAATGCATATATTTCTTATAGAAAAAAAGCAAAAACTTTAAGTGTCCATCTGCATTTAAAGACGGATTTAAAGCTTTTCACAAAATTCCGTCTTCAGGGTCTTCTGCTCGTAACTTTATTTTCAACAGAATATCTTAACAAAAGTCTGTCATAAGATACATATTACTATTTTTTGTTTAATTTGAATTTTTATAAAGGGTGCTTAAACATCTTAAAAGCCAGTTTTTTACAACTTGTATAAAATGTACCTGAATCCATTTGATTTTTTTAGTTCATCTAGATATATACGAGGGCAGCGACAAAATTTCCCAACCTGAATATGAAAGAAACAAAGTAGAGTAACAATTTTTTATTATTTTTCAATATAATCCCCCTTAACTTCAATACACTTATTAAATCTCATTATTAACAACCCAATCCCTTTAAAAAATATTCTTTTGGTTTGTCTGCAAAATGAGCTAAAACAGCCTCTTTTAACTCAACTTCGTCGTTAAACCGCAGTCCACGTAAGTCCTTTTTCAAATATCCAAACAAATAATAGTCGCTGGGCACCATATCTGGACTATAGGGAGGATGATCTATCTGTTGGAACCCACACTCTAAAATGGCAGCTTGTGCAACACCAGCAGTGTGGACAGGTGAATTCTCGTGCAAAATAAGCACGCCTCTGGTAAGTTTTTCTCTACGTTTTACAGGTTGCAGTCTCGCAATTTATGTAATAAATGTAATAATGTTGCGTAATATTTACCATTGACAGTGGTATTAGTTTCTTTAAAATCTATTAAAAGAATTCCTTCACAATCCCAAAAGAACGTGGCCATCACCTTTTTTGTTGACTGGCATACTCTGAATTTTCTTGGAGGTGCTTCATCCTTACGACGCCACTCCATTGATTCTTTTTTCGATAGAGGGTCGTAATAGAGAACCATAGTTTCATCTCCCGTCACAATAGTTTCTATCACAGGCTTCGGTTCCGACCCACAGTGTTCCAAAAAAGACCGCGCACACTCGACACGGTGTTGTTTTTGAATGGCCGAAAGGTTTTTAGGAACCCATCTTGCACTAACCTTATGCATACCTAAATGATCATGCAGGAATCTTAGTAATTTCTTAAAATCTTAACGTCGATCATTCATTGCCACCTCTTCCAGAATCGCAACAATATCTTCCGTTATGACCTCCACTGGTCGACCAGTTCTTGAATCATCTTCAAGAGACTCATTTCCCATTCCAAAACGTTTTGCCCATTCTTTCACTTCAGAATACGAAGAACTTTGGCCGTACACACCATCCAGCCTTTCTTTAATAATTTTATTTGCTAACCCTTCTTTTGTCATAAACTCGTCTATACTCAATTTGCGTTATTTGCGACTTTTTTTCGGACACGTTTAAAAAGCTGTCAATAAAAAACTATTTGACGCAAGACTTTATTTTTTTTTCGCAGCCTACTAAGATATATATTTAAAAGAAGACAAAGTTTTATCGTGATACTGGAGCTTCATCTATGTCAGGCCGGAAAATTTTGGCGCTAACCTCGTATTTTGCATATTTGCATGCACAAGTCATTTCAAAATTCCTTTTCGACAACCCCCATCTCCCCAACCAATATGACTTTACGGCGTTGACCAATAAACATTGCCGTCGACAGTTCATCATTTTCAACTGAAAACTGACTGAGGGACTGTCAGGGATCATGGTGATTAAAGGCTGCAAAGTTTTATTGGTGGTTTTGGAATGACTGCGCATTCCCAACAATTTTTGATTGGCTTCAAAAATGCCTATTGGCATAGGCAGGGCTTCTATACGTCTAGGAACAATATGTTTCAAACTATTTCACGGAACAATTATCGCAGTACTTTCATGAATAGCGTTTTTTTAGATATGTGTATTCATCCTTAGAAATAAAATCATAAGTCTGTAAGAGAGTCCGGGGGTAATTACATTTTCAAAAATTGAATACGGAAGAAAGAGGTTGGCTGGTACTTTCAAAGTTTTAAAATTTTCGAAAGATAAACGCTATATAATTTTATTTCTCTTATGCGCTTAAGTGCAAAAAATATTTAATCTCGTAGACTAAATAACTAAATGCAAATATTTATTTAATTAACAGATTTCTCCAAAACTGCTTTTACATTTTTTAGCAGAAATATGTAGTTATTGTATCCGTATTCTACAAAACCAAATTAATTTCACATATGTTAACCGTTCGTGAGAATGTTGCTAATGACCTAGAAATCGTTAGTGGTAATTAACGAATGTTGTTATTGTTTCAAGAAAATATGTAATTACAAACTTTTAAAATGTTTTCAAGTTTTAGCAGGGTTCTCTGGAAAAGTCAGGGAACGGCCTCGAATTATCTAAAAGTCAGTATTTATGCAATCCCGTTTTCTGAAAATTTTCAAATATTTTGTTTGTTGTATTTTTGGCTTCTTTTCGTACTGTACTTTTATTGCAAAAGTAAGCAGATCACTATAGCTATAACTCCTTGTCTTATTCAACGCAGAAAATGACTTATTGTTTTATTATTATTTTTTACAAATCAAAGAAAAATATAGTGACACTTTTTACAAAACTTCTGGATTCCTCCTTCGAAACGTCAGCAATTTCGACTCAGCAAAAACCCACCCAGGAGGAATCCAGAAGTTTTGTAAAAAGTATTACAGTAGTTTGTTTGAAAAATTAAAAAATAGTGACATTAGAGGTTTACTGAAAACCCGAAAATGTGAGAGAATTTCTTAATCGTGCCGTTTCGGTTGTTAATTGGGCAAAAAACTAAGTGCACTCACCCCTGATTCGTCCATTATCAACACCCAAGGATGATCCAGACAAAGTTGCATTTTCTGCGACCATATTCCATTCGTCTGTTCCATTTGTCTCAACCTCCTCATCCCGTCGAGAGGATAAATAATCCCAGTTTCTTGCGACACGCTAAACGTTGCCAAATGTTCGATAATATGTACTGGTGGTTTTCCCGAATCGTCCCTAAGGTCTCTACCCCTGTCCCGATCCAAGTCCCTATCATCCCTCGAGTAGCCGTTGCGATATGCCATCGTGTTAATTTTCTTTGTTCCGCTTCAAACGTACTCTTAGTACTAAAACGGAAACAGTTACAGTAATAATATGTTTTTGTATGCAGAAACTGTTGCCGTTTAATCAAACTGACGCGACGCTGTTGAATTAGAGGTGTAATTTTTTAATAAAATTATTTACTAACGCTTTATATAAAGATATGACGAAACCGATATGAATTTGATACAAGGAAAAAATATCCTGCGCCATGATTAGATTATTGGATTACATTATCTATAATATAATTTTTGACGATGCGCGGTAAACGTTAAAAAATCGATCATTGGTATTGGGATATACCGATACATGCGGCGTATTTGATTGCATTGCTAATCTTCGTTAAATGCCCTTTTATAAATCAGAGAAACTTTACCGTACAAGAAGCAAAATCGAATTCTTAAATTATAATTATAAAGCTATTAGAATAAAATTGGAAAATAACTTATACGCGCCACACCCTCAAACATCTAAGAATGGAATGTGAAGAATGAGGTAAGAATTCAAAGTCAATTGAGGCAACGAATACGTTTAAGGATTTCTTGCATATTTGTTTGCGCGAATCACAGCGTCTCATTATAATAGTATATCCATCAACAAGTGGGTGGATAGGTAATTATTTAGTAAACTGAACAATAAATATGTCGGTCAATATAAATTGATCGAAACCCTTACAACTAAAGCACTTCGCACACATTAATTGTTTAAATATGTGTATCTAAAGCCACCGTGGCGAAATGAACATATTATTAACAATACCTAGTAACAGTAAATTCTTATTTGGTTACTGTAGAGAGTTAGCGGTTATACTCCATCAACACTAAAAATCGACTGCCATACTTATGCACCCGTTCACCAATTTAGCGGCACAAAATACACTTTTACACTAATTTTAAAATTGCATATCAAATGTACACAGGTACATTCGGCATTGAACACTTTTGCTTGCTCGCCTCAACTGACAGGTAAGAAAACAGATTACTGCAAAGCACATGCGTGGAAAAATGAGAACGTTTACCTGTACGATACCGTACCTGGTCAGGTTGTTTCTGAGTTTACCTGGTGGTACCGCCTAGTCGTATACAGGTACTACTCAAAAATAACCCGGTAAATTTCGCCGTAGAATTTTTATCCGATTGCCTAGACCACTTTTCTCTAGGTACTGCTTATCATTTATGCATTTGTCCGAAAAACAGTGTTATTAAAAATATCCACACTAATCTAGATGACTATAAAGTTTGATCTGTAACTTATATAGTTGCTGGACTGACTTCGAACAAAATTCTAAAGCTTTTTAAAAATTCCTTAAATGAATAAAGGTTCTTCTAAGTTGCTAGTGGTAGGACCTACAAAATCTTTAGTATGAGCGAAATGTTTTAACACTGAGCGATTCTATTAACCCCAGTCAATAGAACTTTTTCAATTATGTATAGTAAGTTTGGGTGAAATATGGGAAAAAAAATTACTAGAAAACCTTTGTAAATTTATTGAAAATGTAAGTTAAAAGGCATACTCTGACTTTTAATAAAACAGAATCAGATATAAGCAAAGGCATGTGTGTTATTTGACTGTTAAGATTAATTTTTTTAAACTATGTTCCCTGACAAATTTGGCCTTTCAGGTGTTACAAAACCGCCTTTATGATTTTAAAAGTTTTAAAAATAATAGTTTCTAAAAGTAAACAAAGTATTAGTATATTTTGCTTTAAGTGCTTGGACGCCCGTGAGGGCGCCCCCCTTTAATACCAATACCAATACCAATACAATATATTTTGCTTGCGGTAGTTCTGCCTTTTATAAAAAAGTAGGATTGGATTGCGAAAACTGTTTTCTAACAAAAACAGCCTTCAAAAATTTTGAAAAGAGGTAGTTAATTCAAGTTCCTAATGGCAAAATTAATATTTTCATTTATTGTCAATATATATCAGAACTTTAGCAACAGAAAAACGAAATATTCCTATAATGTAGGTTAATACAACTTATTTTATTTCGAATTAGACGCGCGCCATCTTAAGTCGATTCATGGATTTGGAATTGAAAAGTTGCGAGTTATAGTATTGATTCGACCTTTGATACCTAAATTATGTAGCAGATGTCGCCACAAGCTTTAAAATGAGTGATAGTTTCACGGTAATTTTTGTGGTAAGTCAGAAGTGACATCTTGTGGAAAAAGGTCCAGGTAGATGGTTTTCTAAAGAAACTTTCACAGGCTACTGTAAAGCTATTTACAAACCTGGATTCTTCCTGCGTCGGTTATTTATAAATGAAACTTGCTGAGGTTTCGCCAAAAATCCTGTCGACTTCTTCAGAACTTAATAGAAACGGTTTCAGTTAAGTTCTGAACTGAAAATTAAAGTTTCTGTTAAGCTCGGGAGAAGCCAAGAGAAAATTTGTAAATTTATTCTTTTAAACACCTCATTTCTGTTGTTTACTGTCATAATTTGATAGCTTCGCTTATCCAATTTATAACTCCTTTTATATTCTTTTAAAAAGTAAATAAAAGACATTGACTTAAACACCTAAGAATTTATTTAGGACATATATAAGTCTTGCATTTTACAAGTAGTCATTTTAAAATCTTTTACAGTCTGGCTTCTGTAGTCTAATATGTGTACCTTTTTAACTCAGATTTTAATGCCTAGTTTCCTTGGTCATGTTCCCACTTTCTATCCATTATTTTTAATAATATGTATAATAATAAAAAAATAAAAATGACTTTTTACTCTGATTTTTAAACCCGTTTTTCTAACTCGGATTTCCTAATAACAATTTCTAGAAAATAACCTGATTTTTTTAATTTTGGTCATGAATTTTATGGATTCTAAAAAAGAGACCTTGAGGTTTTGTTAAAAACACAAATATTGGGGAAACTGATCTGTTTTATCGATTAAAACATCGATTTACTACAAACAAAAACATGAGTCAGTTTTTGACCCTAAAAATTAGGAAAACCATACCTTTTTTTATTAAAAATAAAAAATGTGTGTCGGGGGAACAGAAATAATGGATAGAAAATTAAAACAATTGTCAAGAAAAATAGACAAAAAATCAGAGTCAGAAAGTTGCCCATGTTAGTCTCTATACAAATTTTACAAGTAATAATAAATGTAAAGGCACATATTTATGCGATAGTGTGGCCCGTAAAACTATGGTGCAAGTTATTCTTAACATGAAATTAGTATGGCCATTAACAATATGCTCGCTACACTATTATGCACCTTTCTGTTTAGTACCTGCGCTAATACCTTATACACTAATTAAAAATCACAATAATATTTATCAAAACCCTGAAAGTGCTTCCCAACTGCCAATAGTACAATCTATTGAAACTATTCTGCAAAACCAAAAAACAAATCCTACAATATTACATGCTAATATAGGAAGAAATGAACGTATGGCCTTCAGCAAAAGAACAAAAGATGGGAAATCACCCCCAAAAAAACTTAAGTATTATTAGTTACATTTACAGTAGAACAACTAAGTTCAATAAATAATCATTGTACAGTATTCTGCCGAAATTAAATAATTTATTCTGCTGCGCGCATTAGTCAATATGTAAAAAAATATTAAAATGTTCTGTAACAAATCATGATTTGATTATAAATATTATAAGGCTTTACATTTTTTGTTTCTTTTATCATCCTTTATACCTAACTCTCATTTTTAAAATTTTTCACATACTGACTGGATAAATTATATTTAAACTATCTTTCACGGGATAGCTTTAACATATAAATCTTTGGTAAACATTCTGGAACCCAGACACTGACATTTTTGACATAAAATTGTCTCAAACTTTGCCTCACCAAGGAAAACGACCATACTGATTGATCGGATATTATTTATAATACTGACCTAACAGTACTTTGCCAGCACATGAGCAATTTTCCAAAGAGTATACGGCAACTTAACCTAAGAAAACTTTGACTTTCGCTAAGGAACCAGAAAAATTACCATTCCAATTAGAGCTGCTACAGTTGGAAAACAAATATTAGATCCTCACAATGAAAGAAATACGGACAGTTTTACATTAATATGAAATATCTTTAATGGTTACACAGCCTTTTGTCCAACAGAAACGACTAGAATGGAACTTTATGGCGACCTTGGCGACTACACATTGTCTGAAGTAGATCTCATATTAGAATTTCGCATCTTTATAAGTGAAATTCTAATTTAAAAAGGGGAATATGTAACACAACTATACACTGTCGTTTTTCAAACGGATACACATTGTCTTTTGTCCTTACAAACTCAAACACTGCATCCTTCTGATACTTCATCAGTCGGCTGCTGGCTCCATCGACACTGAAGATTATTATTATTATTACTACTATCACTACGTAAACTCTGTTCTAATTCTAACAGTTGTCCCATGAAATTCAGGTTTGGCGAAATAATAGGCCTTGCTTCTTTCACTTTCTTGTAAGCCTCCACCATCGACAGGTGTTTGTACTTCATAATGTACGCAATGGCGATGGTAGCACTCCTAGACACGCCAGCCTGACAGTGGACCAGAACTCTAGATCCGTTTTTTCTCGCTTGTTCTGCAAAAGCAAATAACATTAGAAATTCATGTTTATCAAATTCGTGTTACGTAACAAAAAGCTCAGTTATGTTGACGTGGAATTTTGTTCGTATCAAACTCGTTAAAGTGGCCTGCATAATTTATTAGAAATCAATAATTTCGTTTCATGCGGACTTTCATGTAAATCGATATGCAAATACAACATATACAGGGTGATACTCACATACAAAAAAAAACGTCGCATTTTTTTAATGAAACCCGCTGTATATCTGCGTATTTAGATTTCAACAATATTTTAGTGTAAATACAGATGACGCTTGTGGTCAAGATATCTCCGTCAATAACGGATTTTTAAATTATTTTTAAAGAACGAAAATGATATTGAGCATTTCATTTAGAATAAAATTTACCGCGGGTATCTATATATAGAAATATAATATATAAAGGAATGGTCATTTTAAAAAATGCCTTAACATGATTACTCAAAATTTCAAAAATTTCAGTAAAACATTTTTAGATCCACTCTGTATAGAAATTGTATTAAAAAATTAAGTTATATCGATTCTTGATTCGAAAAAGTGTAGCTCGTGACGTCAGTAGAAAAGCAACAATCCACTTTTATTATTACTTAGCGGTTGGGTATAAATGTAAGCAACATATTTGCGTAACAATATTTTAATGTAAATAGGAAGCTAGAAGGCTATACGGGTTGCCTAACAACTGAACTAGCCGCGCGCGGATACCTATATTTGTGTAGCATTGCTCAGTATACGTTAAACTCTAAATATACACCAGGTTCAAATGGGGTTGATCCGTTGCAAATGTCTATAAAATTCTGACCCAGATGAGCAACAGGCAACACGCGGAGAGGGGGACGAATATGACTCATAACCCAATGTAAATCCGAATACACCGGAGCAGTTTATTTTAAACCCGCACACAGGGCCGTATTTACTTCGATTTAACGAAACTTTCTTAATATTCTGGTACAATAAATTAAATGAAATAATTTTCTAAATATTTTAATAAGCGGATCAGTTGGATTAGATGGATTATTTTATTCAAACGAAATGTTTATTTAACATTTATTTCTACAAAAGATACTATCTTTATAGGACAACGAGTTACTAGAATTCTTTTTGTGAAAATAATATGCAATAATAATAAGACGTTTTAATTTGTTGATTCAGGTATTTTAAGTATTTCTTAATTTTTGATTTTTCTGTAGGCGCTTGTGTTTCTTGTTAATTTGAAATGAAGTATTGATTTGATTTTAATTATGCAAATTTCCAAAATGCTTTAAACGCTACGTAAAAAAAACAATGATAAAAATTATGAAACTTTTCGAACTATAAGCAATTTCTGCTGAAGCCAATAATGCAATTGAATTTCAATTCCCCCGCATATTTTGTCGTCGGAAAAGATCGCATTAAGATTAATGGAAGCACCTACATGTAGGGCATGGAAGAATGACTCAAAACCGATAAGTAAACTATTACACGCGGCCCCAATTTTATTTGTAGGGTAGTATAATCTAGTTGATAAGCGTCCCCAAGTGACTAATACGCGTTAGTGTGCGAAACAGTGTAACCGACAAATACTTACACCTTGATAAGCTATCGACAAATATAAACGAAAACGCCCAAATGTGCATATGTTTGTTTAAATAAACAGAATGCCTAGATTTTCGGAAATACCTTCCGTTACACAGGGTGTTTCGGTTTTTTTGTAGCAATTGCTATTCCACTATACGCAGATCAACAAATGTTTAGTGTTACTTTTAAAATATTTCCGGAATCCTAAATAAACAGTTATATAATGTTGGTATGGTCTGTTCATAGATATAAGAAAGTGACCAATTGCTTTTGAATAAGATTATCCAAGGGTGGTCATTAACATACAATGCAACAAGATTATTACCTAAAGTTTCGGAATTTAAATTCAGGTAAAATTGTGGTCCGTAATAGAAAATAATTTTATACCTACCTGTGTTTAATATTCTTTGGTTTGGTATACTACTTAGTTTAAGTTCATTAGTAATCATTTTTATTTCATGTGTAATACAGCGTGTGTTGAATCGTGTACGAATTATGCAAAATATGTGCGAGTCTAGTGTATCTCAGGAGATGCACCCCCCCCCCCCAAATGTAGAAAACACTATTCTATTGAGACTAAGGAAGTTATAAACAATGTTTATTTGGCTCTTATTGAACGTGGTGCCCGCAAGCAAGCATCTTTAGAAGAAACATTGACGAAAATTAAATCAACTGTATGGAAAATTGTGAATAATCCCATTCCAGCGAGGAAAAAAAGAAGCGATGCTGACGTTTTCTCGAGTGTAGGTGAAAGTGATCAAGATATAATACGGCTTAAAATTTACCAGTTATAAGAGGAACAAAGCGTGCCTACATTAGATATCGTAATTGAAAAAGATGAAACCGGTGTTAAATGTGGCAGAACTACCTTATGGGAGTGTATTCAACACATGGGTTTTAGATTTAACAAAACTGAGAAAAGGCAAGTTTTAATGGAATCTTTTAGAATTCGGAAATGGCGACTGGAATATCTAGAAAAATTTAGGATTTACAGAGAACAACAAAGGCCAATTATTTACTTGGATGAAACCTGGTTCGACACTTATGTTACCCCGGAAAAGGGTTTGGTTGACTCAACTGATTCCAAATGGACTTTCTCTATGTGCGAAAAATATTAAAGATTCTTCTCTGGATTACCATGAAGAGACACCACCGCTGATTTATTTGAAAGTTGGTTTAAAAACAAACTAGTTCCAAATATTCCTCCTAATAGCGTCATTGTAATGGACAATGCAAGTTATCACAGTAGATAGTTGACTAAAACCCCTTCCTCATGTGACACAAAAGCAACAATCCAAAACTACATGTATAATGGCATTTATTTTCACGAAGATTATACCAAAAAGCAATTAATTGAGGTTCTACAAAGCTTGAACCTACAAAAGGAATACGTCTGTGATAATTATGCAACAAATCTATGGCATACAGTTTTAAGGCTTCCACCTTACCACTGTATATTTAATCCCATTGACCATGTTTTGGCACCAACTGAAATATGCCATTGGTCGTAACAATGTTTTTCCCCGTATTAACTCTAATGTCATCAAAACTTATAGAAACCGAAGTTTTTAACATCCCTCCACAAAGTTGGACAAATTCTGTTAAACATATAGATATAGATAGATAGATAGATAGCGATAGTGATACTGATATATTATGTAATAATTTTAAGTAATTTAAGTAGGTAATAAAAATAATTCGTAATTTTATTTTAGATTTAAACATAAATACATACATAAATAAATAAATATTGTTTAGTATCTTTCCTAACAAAACCCCAAATAATTAAATTCTAAGCAAAGTACGGACCTGTTCGGCCATATTTCATTCTTACAGCTTGCCCGTGGCTTTCCTTAATTCGTCACTTTCTTATATCTATGAACAGACTTTACCAACCATTAGACTAGATGTGGGAAATCTTTAAAGAAAAGTGGTACGCTGCTACTTTTTTTTTAAAACTTAGTTACTGTTAAGAATTTTGGAAGAATCAACGCGTTTTTGACTTAACTAGCAATTTCTCGTTTGATCCATGATGATCCTCAACACTGTCATATCGAAAACTACAAATTATACTGAAATTTGTTCAGTGACGTAGACCAAATTGCTAATTATCTCAAAAACTGTCCGTCACATCCAAAATTTGTGATGAACCGAACTGATTCCTGTTCTAAAGGAAACAAAACGCAGTTACTGATACACCCTGTATGTTATATACGTAAAAAGCACCGGATAAAAGGACCAATTCAGCTGCTCTTACAGTATGTCGGATCCTTTTTTATAAAGTGTCCTGCGAGATTATACGGGGTTAGTCACTGAGTAAACGCCCATATGTGTATTTTGGCAGAAGAATAACGAATACAGACAATGGCGCTTAGTCATACCTTTTAGGGTTTGCCATAATAGAGTGAAGAGCAAGAAAAACGTTTGAGAATCAACCGTTATAAAAAAAATTTTTAAACTTCTAACGCGAGCGTATATATAAACCAGCATTGTTTTGTCCGAGTGTAAGTGTTAGATAAATAAATTATTATTGTTGGTTTTAGTTGGAATTCTGACCGTGCTGGTTGGGATTTTCCGAGTTCCGATGATCTCAAACATGAAGAATGCGCTTTATAGCACACTTTGCTTCCAGTGGTTTGTATATGACGCGTCTACATATGGAACCCTTTTTAATTAAGAATTTCATGGAAAAGGGGTTATTTTTCATAAAAAAATGCGGGTGGTTCGATATGTGATATCGACGCATATCTTTTATATATCCACAATTCCTGTCAGAATTTTTATAATATATAACACGTTATAAGGAAAAACAACCACTTAAAGCTAATTTTATTATTCATTATTGCCATGCAAAACGTAATATATACATCTGCAAATTTTATCATATATTCATTTAAAAAAAGGCGATATCGGTTTTACGTCAGGTGCTTTGGAAATGAAATAAGAACATTCTCAATTTTATTAAATTTCTGCGATAAAGACGAAAAACACGGTTTTCAAACTAAAAAAATTCAAATAATGTTTACTTTTGATATCTACTGATGTCGGAGGTTTTGAACAAATCAATTAACTAGACACGGCCAGTATTTTGTTAAAATATATGATTAATTCAAATAAAAATAATACGAATAATTCACATACATCCCCGGACTATAAAATGGGCATCCCTTCCGCTTGACTACCTGTGAAAAGGGCCGAGGTAAGAGGATGAAATCAGTTCCACAAACGAAAACCGATCGAGATTCAAATTAAATGACGTTCGAAGCTTTCGGTGAAGCCGAATTCCAGGTATGGTCTCTTCATACATATAAGAAAAAGCTAATAATAATTAGAACAGGCGATGATAGCGATAGTGATACTGATTTATTATGTGAATAATTTTAAGTAATTTAAGTAGGTAATAAAAATAATTTGTAATTTTATTTTAGATTTAAACATAAATAAATAAATATTGTTTAGTATCTTTCCTAACAAAACCCCAAATAATTAAATTCTAAGCCTTACAGCTTGCCCGGGTATTTCCTTAATTCGTATTAGTTAGTCACTTTCTTATATCTATGAACAGACTTTATGAGAAAATACTGTTAGCAGATTGTGCGTTACTCGACCGGTCTTGTGGAAACAATAAAGATAATTGCGTAACAAATGTGCCACTGAGGAAAATTTCATAAAAAAACGGTATATTGGCAACGACGCTGATTCGATCCGTAAAATGAGTCAGAGGATCTGGTTGAGTGCAGCGCCAACAGAAACATAAACGGTGTTGAACGTTCAACGGCCCTCGAGTATGAACAATGATGCCCGATGAGTAATATTTAGTGGCTGACTCAAAACACAAGGCCGTTTCACAAGCTTTCTGTATACAAACCATTCATAAGGACGCATTACGCGCTAAGATGGACACGTGCAAACAACACTGATTGCACGATAGATTCTTGTGATTTACATTTTCCATTCAAAAAATTTCCCCACTCCCGTTTGCGATGTTTCGACAAATTATTATTATTTTTTGCTTTATTTTAAGGGTTTACATGCCAAGTAATTCGCTAGATCGACGGAAATACCGGTTCAGAAGATATTAAAAATGTTATACCGATAGCTAAATAATTACAAGCTCCTATAGAATTGACTTTTTAATTTAACTGTCCTTCTGTGTACGTACTCTGTTTTTGTTTGTTTTTCGCGCAACCGCGTATAAACATTACCTCGATGTACGGCTTTCTCTTTAGTTATTTCATTGCACTTTCGTCTAAAACTATCTATGCCGCTTAACTTTAACAAAAGAATTGAGAAAAACGCAAGTTTTTTTTAAACGACTATATGTATACAGGGTGTTATTTAATAAGTGTCCGATATTTCACGGTATGATTTGTAGAGTATTTATAACAAAGTTCCTACTGGGTGGGACAAATTTTTATCTCTGTTTTTTCTGCTAATTACCTAAATATTTCCGAATGAAAATTGGTACCTGTAGTTTTTTTTTACATGAATTGGATTGCATTTGGGAAAGAAAATTAATTCTCAATCATTTTTTAGTATTTTTAAGGTAAAAAGTTTGTGTAAAATTGTTGTCTGAAATGCTTGGCGTTCGATATACAGAGTGTGTTATTTTCATTTTTAGAGGTTGGATATTTCCAATATTTATTGTTATTTAGCGCTGCTTTAAAATAATTTATGTCGATCAAAGAAAGTTATTTTACAAATTGTTTCATGTGTTTGAAAACAAAGGCCTCCATTACTTCAAACCAAAATGTTTCGAAAACCGTTGCTCCTAACAACTTCTAATAAAAGGACATTTTTCAAGTAAAAATGATTAAGGAATTCATTTTCTTTCTCAAAAATATTACGCAGGGTCGTGTAAAAAGTCATTAGCGCCGCAAATATTTAGGAGCTAAATTAAGAGCAAATTTAAATTTCTTATGTCAAATAACCCTCAGCTACCAATTTTCTTTTAGAAATCGGCAATACTATGCCGAAAAAATAAAAATTAAAATAGAACTTTGACACCCACCCTGTATCTTGAAAACGAAATATTTAATTTTTATTTAAAAAAATTTAATTCAACTTTAATTTAATTTTTAATTTTAATTTAATTTAATATTTCACCCTGTGAAATATTGGACACTTTTGATACTTGATATCAGCGTATGTTCTAAACGTCTTAACTTTTTAGATACAGATAAAGTTTTCAGGAATGTTTTTTAATATTATCTAAGAAAGGGGTATTTTGAGGTGCGCCACACTTTTTCTTATTTCCAGTGGCGTCCGTCCGCCATTTTCATAGCGTATTTTTTAGGAAAAAAAAATGGTACGTTCACTGACGTTGTTTCAGATGACTAGTATATATAGTATAGTCAATTCTGCATAAAACTCAGTTTTTACATTTTTCTTGCAAAATACATCGTTTCTGATTTAAATAATTAATTTTATGCATTAAAACCACTCTGTATCTCAAAAGTTGAGACGTTCCTATGATTTCTTTTTGCCAATTTGCTTCAGTATTGACATAAAGTTACGGAACACCCTGTATATGAGACCGGACACGCAATATCGGTTTTGTGTGGTTTGTTTGATTTCCTGGTCGAGTTTTTGAAGTTAATATAAACAGGAAGCAGGGCTTAAAGCAGTTTCCTGATTAATACGTAAATCACGTGGAGCCTGGCGATCGACTTTCTTGCGTTTAAAATTATCTGGAATTTTGTGTCAATTCCGATAAACTCGTTTCCGATACGATAAGCACAATAAATTTCATTCAATTCAAATTGTTTTGAAGCCGATGATGAATTTGATGTAATATAATAAACTGAACGAAACGGTTTCTAACAAATTTATTTCAGTCGGAGGAGAAAGTATGTGCCACGACAGATTTTTACATACTTTTCTGAAAACGTATACTTAAATAACTGCCGGTACCTCCCATGTTGTATCAGAAATCTTTATAATTAAAATTGTTTCTATATTCTATTTTCGTAACACTTTTTTCGGTTTTTTGGGCACTACTTTGCAAAAATAGAGACGATTTAATTTTAATTTTTCGAAATAGAATCAGCTGAATTTTATCTAATTGTTTTACAACTCATTTGCAAAACATTTTTAAACGGAAATTTAGTATTAAAAATATGATTTCAGTGCAAGTTAAAAAATTACTGCAGCAACAACGTTACAAAAAATTGTTAAACAATATATTTGTTAGATCTATTTTGTTTATTGCAAAAGTGATGAATTATGGCCACTTTAACGTATTTTCCGAATATCATATTTGAACCCTATGAATCTATAATAGAAATAGTGGTGGATAAAAAACTTTAACCTCATACATAGAATGGACGCGAATATATCTGAAAAAATCGTGTGCACTATTTGCCTGAGCGTACTATACATAAGGACTGTTTAAATATTTACCGATTTACATAGAAAATGATTTATGAATGCCGTTATCAGTTTTCGGTTTGAAAAATTTTAACTATAATACTCCTCTACGTGCGATTGTAAGTACGGAAAAATTCGAAGCTAGTGTAGGTACAAACCCTTTTTTTATTCTTAACATCTGCCGCCCTTCTAGGTCTTGAACGGATAATAAAAATAAATATCTTTCCCGCTGTTCAAAAATTTCACGCCACGGTTTTAATTGTTGAACGCGACTAACAAAAAATTAATAAATAAATGGAAATCGATTCAAAACTTACCGATAAATTCGAAAGCTTCTTCGAAATACTGTTTGAGGTTCTGATGTCCCGAGTCTGTTGCCGGTATTTGTTTATAAGTGATACCGCATTCTTCGTGGTACCCGGGCAGTTGTGACGTCACATTCAAGACGCAGGTGGTACCCAGTCCTTGTAGACAAGAAAGGTCGGCAGCATCCTGCGAGAATATATACGCGTTTAAAATGAATGGCCACAAAAGGCTTTTGGGCGAGCGTTTCGTTTAAAATAACTAAGTTGAAAAATTTTGTTGCCGACATTTTTACAATTTATCGAAACGATTTCTTCGTTGTCGCGGTTAATTAGATACGAAGTATTTGCTTTTACTGAGAGAATGTGAAAGTACTTACTTTGCTATTGCCAAGGTACAAAAAAGGTAGAACTTTCGAGGCAGGGTAAGAGTCGACGTCTGCTAGTGCTGGGCAAGATGCTGAATTCGCGATGCCCCGCCCTGAAAGACCGGCGGTTAGCGTGTCCTCGCATAGTTCTTTGTGTTTCCGGTGAAACTCTCTGTGGCCTCCTGGCAAAAAGAGAGAAACATTCGTTAATAAAATTTTAGTAGTACGAAAGATCGGGTAATGCAAAATTTACTAACTTGCCTAGTGCTACAAATAATATTTCTGGTCCAATATAGCATTTGAAAAAATTATAAAGTTTATTTTGCGCCACTACAAGCCATTGACATTTACAAATTGAGCCAAATTTAATATGTCCTTCTGGCAAAAAAAAGAAGCAGATTCGTTAATATCGTTTAATACAAAATTAACTAACTTGCCCAGTGACAAAAGATAACATTTCTGCTCTAATATAATATAATAAAAATTTTGAAAAATTATAAAGTTTATTTTGCGCCAAATTTAGTGTGGCCTCCTGACAAAAAAAGAGAAAGATTCGTTAATATCGTTTTATACAAATATTACCAACTTACCTAGCGACAGAAGATAACATTTCTAGTCTAATATAATATAATTAGAATTTGAAAAAAATATAAAGTTTATTTTGTGCCACGATATGACATTAACCCTTACAAATTGAGGCAAAGTTAATGTTGTTTTCACTCATTTCGTTTAAGTTTTTATGGAGTTAAGCCGGAAAAATGTTTTTTGTTACACTTTTGTAATGAATGAATTAATAGCGGGATTTATTTATACGACACACTGAAAGCCTTGTTCGATTTTATTATTTATTATTTCTAAACAATACCTAGGATTAAAAAGATTAAAATCGCGTTACTATATAGAAATGTATAGATGATAAAAGAAAGTCTTTAACCGACTCATTCGGCTGTGTAATATAGTTTCACAGGAGAAATGGATTTTTAATAACAAATTGTCACCAAGGCGCACTTAATAAAAGGGCTGACTCACTTAAAGTAGGTATATTGATATTCAATTAGGGTAGAGCGTTTGCAGGGTGAATCACTCCCAAAAATTATTATTAGAAGTTACAAAATATGGTCGCATCCGTTGAAAAACTCGTTAATGCCGTTCGGTTTGACTTTCTCGCTTCGGAGGGTAGAAAATGACGAAAATCGACTAAACGCTTACACCCCTTAGAATATACCGGAACATACGCTTTGAATAGCTATAGGCACCAGTGGTGTTCTAATGATTCATGCTACTCTAATAAGGGGTAAGTTCAATGGGTTCGTGAGTCATAGCCGTTGAGATGAGGGCTTACACAACGATTCATAATTTTGACAGTTGGGCCACGTTTTATGACGTCACCCGCGAATTTTAAAACGCGGTATCACCTAAGGAAGGCAACACTTCGATTGATTACAGATTACGTTATGTTTAAACAAACGTAGCCAATTAGTGACGCGTTTTAAAATTCTACGAACTACTGAAACTGGACTGAACTAAACATATAACGAAACGACCATTTATTTTATAAATGCGGCGATATTTAAAACCCTAAATTTCGTATTCCACAATCCTCGATCATGGCAACAAGTCGTGGCCATACAAATGGTATTCATATTAGGTACATATTTGAATACAATCATGTTAACCGGCGAAAAGCATTTAAATTTTAAGTAACTTCAATTACAATTTTTAATTTAATTTTTGTCCAAACGGGATTTGGAGATTTTCCTTTTGTGACGCAGACTATCACCGAATGTAGTAAAGTATACGTATATATACACATCATATTACTCATTTAAAAAAAAACTAATTGGCTTTTCTGTCATGTATTTTTTATCAGCCATATAAATAAATCATATGGTGTCTCATTGTATCACGGGGACAATAAAAATAAACCATAGTTAAAAAAAACTTACGTTTTGTTAGAGGAAGATACTTAGGCACCGGATGTGCTCTGATTCTTTTAACACTCATTCCGGATTATTAAGTAACGACCTCCGGTGTTAACGCACGTGATGTGGATAAACTAACCAAAACTACCCCAAATAATCGAGTGGCTCGTATCGAGAGTGGGGGTGAAGCACTGATTCACAGACAATTAATTATCGTGGTCGTGTGATGGTAATCGAGAAAATTTCCACTGTTTTTACTCAGCCCTTTGGACAGAACTGGGGCTTCGCTAGAAGTGTCGATTGAAATGTACGGATGTTATTCAAAACATCCCTCGCGGATGATATAAAGACTTACATCTGGGTGGGGAAGGGTGATTCATTACACGACCCCTGGGACGGTTAGAGTAAAAGAATTAGGATGTTTTGACTTTATCTCCCGGGGTTTGCTTAAGTAATTTGGGGATCGACGACTTCCTTCCGGTGGTGAATTTTCGGTGGGCATGCTCAAACGCATGAATATTGCTATTAAAGCGACCATTCTTAATTTTTTAGTTTGAAAAAGTCGATCATACATTTTTACTTCATTAATAAATATCCAGTTAAGACTTACTTGGCGGTACGGGTACAAATCTAAGCGTAAGTACTGGGTAAGAGTTCGGCCTTTTAATCCTCATTTTGCGGAAATGTCTTTAAAACTACTCACTTAAAACACCAATCACAAACTAAATCAAACGCAAAACCGTAAAAAACTATCGTAGTTGTTGCTCTCCGAGAACTGTGCTATAGAATAACAATTTAAAAACACACGAAGCGAACTAACACGGTCACTATAAACTCGCTGGTGGGGGGAGCACGAATGAATCATTCCCGTTTACAATGTTTATGTTCTGCGTCATTTTGTTCCAACTCGTCTGAAGGACGTTGAATTTTAGAAGTCGATTCCCCAGGTTAGCCTTCCTTTATTCGACTAATTTGCAGCTTTTCTTGCAAAATTTAATCGTGATTCATAGCCCTCGACGGATCTCTTGATTAAAATTATTATCAGCTTTGTCCTCATATAATTTCACATTACTCTAGATAAGATTTCAATATCTAACTACTTAACGCTGGGTTGTTTTGTTATTGGCTGATCATCTAGTTAATGTTCGGTGACGCTGCATACCCCAAAATGTGGACTATGGATTATGATCCCTCTTATTACTCATCGGCGAGGAAATTGTATCAAATCACTCCATACTTATGTGCCTCTCGTTTTTAGATAAAAAATGTACCTTATTCAATGCCTTAAAGATATTTTTAGTGTATTAACAACGTATAACTCATTGCAGATTTAAAAACTCTATTTTTTCCATTTCAAATATAAATATAATCATTAATTAATATAAATTTTGTTACCATGATTTATACAGGACGTTTATTAACTAATTATTAATTATTCTTTGAAGTAAAAATTTTCGTTAATATGCTGACACTGCTTTTTCTGCGAAATTAAATTACTGGAGCAATTTTTGGTCTATTAAACCTACTTTCCAACAATGCAAATTCTTCATGTAACAAAATAAAAACCAAAAAAAATGTTTTTTCCTCAAGTCCATTGACATTTTGTTCAAATTTGGTATGCACTTACCACGCTGAGAATTTTCTTTGTAACAAAAATGAATTTTATACTTTCGCCAGTAACGTAGTAAGATTCACGTCCTTAAGTATCGACACTTAGTTAATAATACCATGTATGTGTTTTATATTAATAACGTAAGGGTTTCCAGCCTTTCGGAATAAATAAATGGAATATATTTATTTCATAACTAAAACTGTGTATTAGTGTATTTTGTATTAAATTATTTGTGCAGTATTGTACTGCATAATTTACTAATAATAATAAATAGCTTTATTGTTTTAACCATTAATAACAAATCAAATCTCACCAAAACTTAACTTAATAACAATGCAATTGACAAAATTATATTCCGAATTAAATTTGGTAGCAAAGGGCTAAGTAAGTCAAACATGGCCAGATACTGATACAACCCAAAATTTAGCATTAAATTAACAGAAGGGAGGATACAACTCTTTTAGTGGGAGCGGAAAAGTATTAAGGACAAGTCTCTTAGTAAACGTTTACTTACGTGGAAACGGAAATGAAATTTTGCTCACCCGAAAGGTAATTTTTTAACTTATTTTTCGGGGCCAATAGCGTCCGAGAAAAGTCTATTAAGAAGACATATTCATTAATCATATTTAAATTTGGTATGAGAAGGAACTTTTGTAATGCTCTTTTCGATGCTGTGGCACAGGAAGAAGACTGTCTACATCCGTCCGAAATCTAATTTTGTTGTACAGATAGGTCGGTGTCGCACATCGAACGATTTTGCAAAAAAATAGTCAGGACCTAAAGTTTATAGCGATTGTTTTTGCAATTTTATTGCTTTATCTTTTTTAACATCGTTATTTAATTTCATTAAACATTTACCTAAACTTTAGTGATTTTACTTAGAATCTATGATCAGAATCAAGAATATTGCAAGTATCTAAAATGTTCTGGCAAGCATTAATTAAAATAATCGATCGTTCCATCATTTTTTTAATATCGTCATGTTCGGTACGTAAAAAACACTTACGCTAAAAGCAAACTCAAAAGCAAAGTTCACTTTAATGTCATATCGGATAAACAATTCTAGTGCTTCTGGTGAGCATATGATCTATTTCGATTAAAACCACTTCAGGTTCGGAGAAATGGCAGTTCTGTTCCCGGAAAATAACAATGAAGTCAGACGTGGCTGTCAAATACGAAACATTTTCCAAATATAGTCAACTACATATTTCAATGAAATTCCCAACGGTAGTAATTTTCAGATGTTTAGGAAAATTTTACGAAACGAGCATACTTATTTCGCCAAACATATAGATTGTTTCGGTAATTCCTTTTGGTGATTTCACACAAACAACTGCAATTAATTAGTACTATACGCTGGTATATGTTATTCATAAAATGTGGTTACTGCGTAAGCAACACGTTTTTGATATCAGCAAGTGCTGTTCAAAAGTTCACCCGATGACGCAATTCATTCACATAATTTTTATAAGTCTTAAATCAATCAAGACCAGAATAAACGTTTGCGATAAATGCAATTTGCGATATAAATTATATACTATGTGCTAAATTGCTGGCAAAAAAAATCCAGATCATCGAAATTTGAAAATGATTCGTTAGACTTCACTTCGCACTGAGAAAATTATTTTATTGATATAAACTTTTCTTT